GCTCTGTCCCTGCAGACAGCGCCAGGGAGACTCAAGGAAATCAACATTTTGGGAACAGTTTCTGTGAATGTTAATTTCTCCCACCCCTTCTTTTCTCCCTCCTAAATGGGAATTGGAGCATCACCAGGGGATCCCAAACCTGGCACAGCAAATTTGTCTGTTGGCAGTGCCCTTCCTCAGAGCAGTTCCCTTAAACCTGGCTGCAGCATAAAGAAAGGATAGCATGCATTAAATCCAAAAGGAAAAATCCAAGTACCAGGTGGGCGTTACCGTACCAGCCTGGTGTAGTCCCTGCCTCAGAGGGAGACACGGAGCTGCCATACCCCGTTCCCACCATCACTGAGAAAGCTTTGCCCACTTTGGCTCAGGAAAATCCCTGTTCCTCTTGGTGCTCAGCAAGGAATTTTCATGGGCGAGACTCCCCAGTGCTGAATTGCAGCTGACAGATCTGCACAGAACTAACTCAAAAGGGAGATCTTTCTAGAATTCTATTTGTTTGCCACCATCACTTTTTTTGAGGAGCTCTTTGCCTTGGGATTGGAGTTGCTGGGTCTGTTACTGGCCATGGAGAAGATGCTGAAGAGGGAATAAGAGCTACTTGAATGCAGGAAAATCTCAGAGAGGCTTGACTCAGGGTCACAAAGCTGGTAATTACATCTTAATAGAAGAGAAAGTTGCTGTTGCAAAAGGTTAGTTGTGAATCTTGGTGGAAAACAACATTTTCCTCTGGGGTGAAGGCCACACTGAGAGGAGAATTGCTCGGAGGTGCCATGTTTGTCTCCAGGCTCTCTGGCCTCGGAGGGTTTCCCTTAGGGACTGTGCAGGAGTGGAAGGAGCAGCAGCTGCCTCTTCTCCTGCCCTGCCTGCACCCCAGCCTCTCCCAGTAACCTTTCTTTGAGTGGGTGAGAACACCTCTGCCTTGCTGTGCTTGGCCACCCACGGGGGAATCGGGGCTGGCTTGGGTGGGTTCCTGACCCAGCCTGTTCCCAGCTCTGTCCTCCTGCAGCTCTGGCCTCCTGCAGCTCTGTCCTCCTGCAGCTCTGCAGCTCCCACGTGTGTGTCCATGTGTTTTGTGGGCAGCCTGGTCTCCAGCTGTTGCCCATGAAAAGATGCCATGAAATTAACTCCATCGGCAGCAATTGCCTTTCCTTGCCAGCACAATCAGTGTGGATTGTCTCTTCTTTTCCAAAGTTCAAGTGTGACAACTGCAGCTTTTTAGAACAATCTCTCAAGACTTGGAGCCTGGATGCACAGAGCTCCAGTGGCTTCTCCCACACTGCCTTGGCAGTTCTCTCCCTCCTAGGAGCAGGTCTGCAGAGTAGTTAAACGGCCTTTGGGTTCCCTCCTTTTTCCTGTATCTGATCCCTGACCAAGAGTCTCTGGTTCTGGTTCTCTTCCTGAAGAGCTGCTGGTGGTATTTGTGTTGAAGGGAAGAGATGAAGCTCTCAGTGATGGATGGGAGAGCAGAGGAGCTTCTCAGCTCAGGGAAGAGAAGGAACACAAAGAGGAGAAAGCTTCTGGGGAGGTGGATGCTCAGTGTTTATAAACCCACTTGTCTCTGCTCTAACCACCACGTTCCTTTTAGGCATTTGAAACTGATAGATGAATGTTGACATTCAAATTGTGTTAATTCTGGGGATGGAGCATTGTGTCGCTTTTTCCCTTGAGCACGTGGACAGTTTGTGTATCTGTGTGAGTTGTTTCTTCTGACTCAATCTATTAAGAGGAATTTTGTTTAGGTTTACGGCCTTACACAGTTCAGGTGTAATGAAAACCCCTCTTCCCAGGAAAGCATTTGTGTCGGGATCCTGCAGACTGAGCCAGCAGTGCTGCAGCTCATGCTGAGGCACCTGTGGTTAGAAATTCCATAGAAATTGAAAAACCATGCTCCCCAGCACGTATTTTTAATCTTTCCTCCTCTCTCCCTGACGCTTCCCTCTAGCCCGGTGTCCTACAAGCGGAGAAAGAATTGATTTTAAATGTGACCGCTGCATATGAGCCAAGGTCCCTGGGCTGTGTCCAGCTGAGGGGAACTTGTTTGAAACACAATTTACTCGTCTATGTCTGTCTGCAGCCCTGAGAGGAGAGACTGCAGTGGTCTAAGGCAGGAAGACAAGTGCAAAAATTAATTGTACAGGTTGCAGCCAAAGCATCCCTCAAGCATTGTGTCCCCCCCCTCACCCCGCTTCCAGCAAGTATAAAACAAGGTGTCATTTTTCACCTTGCAAAGGGAGATTCAGTAAATGAGGCTGGAGAATTTCTTTGGGTAGTGAAGGAAGCACACATTGTATTTTCTTTCCTCCTGGCACTGCAGACACCCATTTTGGTGTTTTCCCTTGCTCATTAACACCAGTGCATGTGTTAGACAGGAGCTCACCCAGACACCCCCCAGAGGTGGCTTCCTTTCTGTTCCTGTTCCACTCCCTCTGGAGCAATCCCTCACACTCCAAGTCAAGATTTTCAAGGCTCCAAGTCCAGTTCTGGTGTCTGTCCAGTGCACCATGCGCTGGATGAGGATTTGTCCCTCATGTTGGAATCCCAGCAGGACTGTGACACTGTGCTGTCCTAGTCCCTCCACGTGTAACAGATTAAATTCTGTTCCTTATCATTCTGTTGGGGCCTTTCTGTTGCATCTGATTGTGCTGTGCCCCTCCAAAGCATTGCCAGGGATTTAACATTGGTTCTCAACAGTAATTTTCCTTTCTTCTCTTAGCTCCTGAGATTCCCTGTTGAGTCCATAAATTTCATCTCCCCTCCCCAGCCTGTCCTTTTGTGTTCCAAAATATTGTCATGCTGTGTGTGTACTTTAATGCTGCTCAGAATAGGGATACACTGACAGTAAATATTTACTGAGAAACTTCCCGAGGTGCTGACAATGAGGATGGGTCTGAAGAGTTCTTGATTTCTGTTGCATTTTTATTTAATTTGGAGTTTGTGATTGCTGCTGCTCATGGAAATGGCTTTCCTGGGAGCAGATAGGAATAGAATCTGGAGGGGTGAAGCAGGCCTTGGCTGAGGTGAAGCACGTTGAGGTCAGCGGAGCAGACGGCGGCCGATCAGCCGCGCTTTGATGAAGAGCAAAGAGGCAGAGCCCAGGAGGCTGTGGAGGGGCTCAGCGTGTCCTTATGTGCTCCCTGCCCATCATTAACCCCGACAAAGCCTCCTTCAGAGGGATCTGCTGCCAGCCCACACCGAGGTGCTGGACTCTGCAGCCATCCATCGGCAGGTTTAATGCAGCAGCATCCCGGCGTGTAAAGCTTCAGTGGCTTGAACTTCAAATAATTTATTTCTAAATTACTTCTACTGTAATTCTTATTAATTCAAATAGTCTTCTAAGCTGATGTAAAATTCAGTAAACGCAAGGAACAGTTTAATGAATTGAAAATAGGATTGAGTCTTTTAAAGTAAATGTAAAAAAATATGCTGGCAATAATTGCTTAGATGGAAATCGAATCTTAATAGCTTTGTTAATGATTTGTAGGGAATATTGCGTTTATGAGAACATATCAAGCTGATCCTTGTGCAAGAACCTTGTTTTGAATGGGTTTGATGAAATTATTCCCCAGAAGCAGTTAGTAATGTTTAGTATTTTTGCTTGAGCCACTTTTGAGATGTTTGATTTCATTGATGCCAGGGCCTGGCTGTGGCTGTGCAGCTCCACGGCAGCGTGTGGCACAGGCAGGGTAGGGCTGTGCTGGGACAGCCTTTGGGGGCTGCACAGCAGTTTGGCATTTGAGAACAGACTCACTTAGGCTGAAAAAGCCCTCTCAGATGATCGAGTCCAGCCATTAATGTGTGTCCCCAGGGTTCACAAGCACCACATTAAGGGTGCTGATAGTGGGGTGGGGTGGCTGAATGCTCATCTTCTGGTCAGAGAGCTTTGAGCAGGACCAGTTTCATCCTGATCTGCAGAATGTGGAGCAGGCAGGTGTCTGGGACAGGCTCTGTGCCCCTCCTGAGCGGGGCTGGGGCTCTGTGCTCCAATACAGGTGTTACTGTTTAATAGTAAATCTTGCTGCTCCTCAAAGTTCATCAATCTGGAGAATATATCTAAAATTTATACTGAGAGGGCAGAAAAATGTGCCCAGACTTCAGCTTGCTGCCCATCAGGCGTGGAGAGGAGTCTGATGGTTTATCAATCTTTCTCTTTCCAAACAATGCACCTTTTTGTCAAACATTTGTTTCCAAGAGATGTCAAATAATAAAGGCAAGTTGGAAAGAAAGATGAAGAAAAATGAAGAAAATGCAGTGTGAGAGAAAAACTGGCATTTAAGTACGATCCCCAGATTTCCTGTGTGCAAGCTTTATCCTAATCCTGCATTTTTGGGCTTCTCATGGCTGAGGCAGCTGTGGAGCAGCAGAGCTCTGACCAACCAGCCTGTGGCCAAGTGCCCAGGTATCCTGGCTTCATCTGGAGCATTGCTGAAGTCTCAGTACCTCTCCCATCTGATTCCCAGTAGTTATGGAAAGATTGAAATGCGAGGCACAATTCCCACAGCCATCCCCTGCGTCCTGTGGCGCTGGAGGGCTCAGCGTGCGGGTGATGTGCTGCCTCCATTCATTAGAGGAGAGTTTTGGGGTGATGACCTGTAAGTGATTAGAAGGCTCCCACAGCATAATTGCACGGGATCCTTTTTTTTCCCTTCCTCTGGACATTAATAGCACCTACTGATTACACAGTGAGTAAAGACTGATTCCCTGAAGTCTGTCTGCTCCAGTCACAGGATAAGTGCTTGTTACAGCAAGTTGTTCTTTCAAGGTAATTTGAAAAGATGTGTCTGTTGGGAGAGGAAGGGAATACTGGGTGTTTCTGTGTGGGGCAGTATTCCTTCCTCTATTCCCGTCACAGAGCTCCTTTTCCTTTGCTCCTCTACCAGCTGGTGGGGGGGGACCCAGAGTCAGTGGCTGATGTTCCTCCATTGGTGGCAATGGAACTTTTCATTCCCAGATGAAACCACTGGTGCTGTGTCTGACCTTGAGTCCCTTTCTGTGTCCTGCAGGTGATGGTCAGAACCTGGTGACGGAGGACGTGACAGTGGTGGAGGGGGACGTGGCCACCATCAGCTGCCGCGTCAAGAACAGCGATGACTCGGTGATCCAGCTTCTGAACCCCAACAGGCAGACCATCTACTTCAGAGATTTCAGGCGTAAGTTTATGGCTCCTCTCATGACTCCTGTGCCTCACTTGCTCTCAGGATGTGGCATTTGCTGAGATCTTTCCTGTTTGTGCAATGCTGGGCACTTACAGTTCAGCTGGTTCTGTGGAGTTAGGTGAGACAGACAGTCATAATCTTCTCCTTAATGGAAAACTTCACAGTCCCCTCTAAAAGTCAGAGCATCTTACTTTGCAATGGGAATTGATTGTTGTAATTCAGGGTGAATTGCAATTGAGTGCCGAATATTTAGCTGACACAAACAAATTGAACAGAGCGACACCGAGACAGCACAGTGTTCTCAGGGGTAATCTCTTCAGGCCAAAGACTGAAAATTTCAGGGCAATCTCTACTGCTTTATACCCAACAAAATCTCTCATCACTTGCATGTCCAGTGGATAAGTCTGTGCTGTGCTGACAGTGCCATGGTGGCCACAGTGAGATGCTTCAAGTGGTCTGTGTTAGTGTCACTGTGGGGACACGGCTGTACTCTCTGCCCAGGAAGCAACAGGACAGGAAACAAAGTTTAAATTCTACTTTTCCCAATTCCTTCCTCATTCAGGCTGGCCCAGAGTGCCTACAGTCAGTCATGGGGCTTTGTAGACAATATAAGCATTTTACCTACACATCCCTAAGCCACGTGGTAATAAAACCACATCCAAAGATTTGATACTGTGCCCGGTGATTTGCTCATGTTGATTATTTAAAATGATCTGAGAACAAAAAAAAACCAGGTTTTATTGGTCCAGCTGCAAGGTAGGAAGCAGGATGGAATCTGATCAGGAGCCCAGGGGTGCTCACCTCCATGTGCTGCTGTCTGTAGGGATCTTTGGGAAGGGGACGTTGCCTCTCTCCACGCAGTCACCCAGGCTGTGCTTGCCCCACAGCGCTGAAGGACAGCAGGTTCCAGCTGGTGAACTTTTCCAACAGCGAGCTCCGAGTGTCGCTGACGAACGTGTCCATCTCTGACGAAGGGAGGTACTTCTGCCAGCTCTACACCGACCCCCCCCAGGAGATCTACACCACGATCACGGTGCTCGGTAAGGAGCGGGGTGCTCGCACCTGGGCACGCAGGGTCAGTGGGATGGGGCTCTGTGCGGCACTGGGGGAGCTCCAGCCACCTGGAGAGGGGCTTGCAGCAAGGATTTGAGCCCTGAGTGCTGCTGGCCAGGCACGTGTGGCCGCGCTGGCAGTGACAGCAGCTCCTCTATTCCAGCGGTTCCTGCCGATTAGCAGCAGCTTTTAAGGCTCCATTAGTGGGAGAACCTGAATCAGGGAGGGTGACTTAATGTAAGATCTCACTTGCTGATTAGTTTAAATCTTCCTTCTTTTGCTTAATGAGATTTGGGTCTTAGGTTTTTATACGTTGTTAAGTGATGTTTATAAGCAGTTTTACTCCAGCTATTACAGTTATCAACACCTTCAAAGTTTCTGTGCACTTTCCAGCGCTCACAGGCACGGGAAGCTCTTCCAGCTCCTGCCTCTAATCGTGCACAAACAGTTCATTGGATTTAATTTCACTGCTGGCAATGCTGAGAAGGTGTTTGAAATGAGAATACTCATTTCATTCACCTGCAAGCCAGCACCACATGTCTTTCAAGTGGGAGACATAAATGCAGGTTTTTGTTCGTTTTTTTTAAGCATGAATTGTGCTTTAGAACTGAGGGAAAAGTCTGTTTTCACGCCTTTTACTTCAGTTGTTTTTGAGAAGCCTTTGTGGCATGGCTGTGTGTGTGCTGCCTTTCCCCCACATCCATAAAGGAGGTGGTTTCTTGTCACCTTCATCGTGTACTCAGGCAAACCTCAGCTCTGGAAGCAGGCAAGGTGAGGGAGGTTTATTAGTAGAAGATGAAGGAAGGGTCTTAGTACTTGCATGGAGAAATGGGGCACTGTGATGCCAGGCTTGTCTCGCCTGTCTTTTCTATTATTGGCTCCCTAATTAGGGGAACTAATGAGCCAGGGCAGAGGAGTGGCACTCAATGTTGGCATTGGCTGGTCCTCCCAGGAATTTGTTCCCCACCAGAAATCTCGTGGCCATCACCCAGCCTGTGATTGATCTGAAGTCATAGCAAAGACTGATTTTGCTGGCCTGCCTCTAATGCTGCCAGCCTGGGGGAGCAGAGGGGGCTCCCAGGGAGCTGCACATTTGCTTCAGCACTTCCATGTCTTCTGTGACACAATATGTAGATTTATTCATGCTTAATTGGAACATGTGAAAGTCTCAAATATGTAGCCCATTCTGTTCTTTTTAGAGAGAAGCCACAAGTGACTAATTAGTCCATTTGATCATCTGGATGGTATTTATACATATTTGCTCTTCATTAGCTTGAAGACCTGTGAGTCACATCTGAACTATGCAGTTGCTTAATCACATTGATCAGAGCAAAGTTGAGTTTCCTTTGGAAGTTCTGGGATTTTCTGAAGCCGTGACTCTGCCACAAGAACTCTCGCTGTTCACTTTTTCCTGGGTTTTGCCTTGCTGCTGCTGCTTCCACAGGAAAGAGATTCCCTTGTTCCCATGTCTTAATTTTTAAGCTCTTTTGTCCCATTTCTGGGCTGTGCTGCAGTGGTTGTTACCCCTGAAGTTAGAGCCTGTTTCTCAGTATTACTGGATGATTTTTAATTGAGTACAGTCTTCCAGCTTTGTGTTTTGGGAGACTCCTGATCTAGGGAAGATGTGTGTCTGGGCAGAGCAGCAGATCTGCACCCCAAAGGACGTGGCACTTGTGGCTGAGGGCAGAGCCGGCTCCCTCCTCTCTTTGGTTTGGTTTTGGGATGGTTTTGGGATGGCTTTGGGGCGGTTTGTGGGGGTGTGATGGGAAGCAGGGCTGTTCCCAAGGGATGGTGTTCCGCTCCAGGCTTGTGCTCTGTGGCTTTTTGAGCATCTTAAATGAGGTTGATGTTTGCTGGCCTGCTTCCATGCTCACGGCTGAGCCTTGGAGCTGAACAGCAGGAGAGAAAAATTGCCGTGGAGGTTAGAGGCTTGGTAAGTAATGCAGTGCCAAGTGTCAGCTTTTGTGTTTCCTCTCCTTGTCAGAGAAGTCAGGAAATGTGCACGGAGTCAAGCTGGATTTTTAAATAGCAGCACACACCCGAGTAGCGCGGGAGGCTGCGGCTCTCCCTGGAACGGTGCCTGCTTGGGAGAGGGAACAGAAAGTTACAACCCTGATAAGTAATAATTTGTGAGACTGCGGTGATTATTAGGTGGAGAGTGAAAGTGCTCACTCCAATTACTGCAAAACCACCTATCAAAAGGTTTGATTGATTGAAAGATCAAATAAATGCTGGTTGCTTGTTTCCTTCAGTAGATTTTACAGGTTTTCCTCAAGGTTTTGTCTTGTGTTAGTGATCAAAAGATGTTTTTTTCATCTGGTACGTGTTGTGTTTCCCATTCCAGTCCCACCACGCAATTTGGTAATTGATATCGAGAAGGAAACCGCCGTGGAGGGAGAGGAGATCGAGCTGAACTGCACCGCCATGGCCAGCAGACCAGCCACCACCATCAGATGGTTCAAAGGCAACAAGGAGCTAACCGGTAGATGTGTCCTCTCAGTCCCTTGCTTTGTTCAGGGAGCTGAAGTGATTTATGTAACGCTGGGTGTTTGTTCTCTGCTGCCAGTTTAAGGGAGAAAAAGAGAAAAAAAAGTAGAGCGAGCTTCTTTGAGCGCCAGCTGAGGAACAAAGGACTGTGTGGGCAGACAGATTATTCCCTAACGCAGGGGGCTGAACTCCATTTGGTCCTCTGCCTACCTGCCAGCCTCAAGTGCCGGGTTCTGGAGTCCTGCTGTAACTGCAGGTGACCTTGAGGAGCCCAGAGCTGTGCGCTGAATTCATTTCTGCATGGCTTGTGTAGCTTTCTGCCCTGTTTTAGGCACGAGAGGGATCGTCTGCGCTTTGGGCTGTAAAGATTTGCAATTCACCTTCACGTCTAGCTCCCTTGTTTGTAGAGTGTTTTCCCCGTGTTCAGTTGAATATTCATCTAAGATGGGTTTCTCCGACTCCCTGAAGTCTGGTGGCTCCCAGTACTTGCACATTCAAGTCACTGACTCTGATTGCATGTGACATGCTGTTAGTTTAAGTCTGCATGTAGATGTGAGCTTGGTTGACACCACCTTTGTGCTTTACCCAGTCTGAGACACTGACGGACTCTCTGCAGAAGTCCAGACTCATTACTTCAAACCCACCCCCCTGCAAGGACAGGATAAAATCCTCTCTTTAAGCCCAACACTACAGAGCATTTGAGCAGGCCACATGCTGGGAGGATGCTGATACAGGTGGGATGCAAACCCGCTGCCTGGTGAAGTGGTGCCCCGCTGAGTCCTGGTGCTTGGTGTGCAGGGAGTTAATAATCCTGTTCTGGTTCCCCTCCCCATACCAGGGGCAGCAGGACAAAGTGTTTGTCTCTTTCTGCCTGACCTGTCCAGCTTCTTGATTGAGTTTTCTTGTGTTAGCAGTCAAATCCCAGCTTTGAGCTCTCTGGGAAGAATGCTGAGCTTCATGTAATATCACCTGACCCTGCTCAGTCTTCAGATATTTTTTTTAACAGAGTAGAGACTGAAACACCTGTCTGTGAGTTTGTGAATGACAGGAAGTGTGGCTGTGCCCATAGGAAAGCTTTTCCTCCAAATATCAAGGGGTGTCTGCGTGTGTCACCTGTTTCATATATTATACAGCAATATTTGGTGTCTGGAAGAGCTCTGCTACAGAAGTTACTCTTAGCATTTTGCCTGTGAATTCTTAAATAAAAAGGCACAGATCAGAGTGGAGCTGCGCTGTCAGCAGGTGCTTGCTGAGTTCCTGGAAAAATCCTTTTAGTCCTGTCTTGTCTTGTCTTGTCTTGTCTTCCTGCTCGTTTCCGTGACAGCATCCCTCCGACAGCCGGTCCGGAGCGGGGCTGCCCTCCCTCAAACAGAGCACTGCCAAGTGCTCCCGCCTATCTATACTACTTCTAATTAATTTGATCTGTTCCATCACTTCTGTAGCTAACTGTTGATTCAGGAGTGGGAGGGGATTTGTGGCTCATTGATTTAAGAGTCTGGGGATTTGGGGATGGTGTGAATCGGTGCGGTGACATCGCATGGGCTTCACTTGGCCGGACCCTGACGGAGAGGAGGACAGGATGGGTGTCCAAAGGGAACATGGACGGGAGGGAGGTGGCCTGGCTGCAGGGGTGCTCCAGCCTGTCCTCACTCCTCTCTCTCTGTTCCCTGCCCCAGGCAAGTCAGAGGTGGAGCGGTGGTCTGACATGTACACGGTGACCAGCCAGCTCCTGCTCAAGGTGGGGCGCGAGGACGATGGGGTCCCTGTCATCTGCCTGGTGGATCACCCTGCGGTCAAAGACTTGCAGACACAGCGTTACCTGGAAGTTATGTGTGAGTAGCAGAACCTTTAATTCTCTTAATATATTAAATTGTGTGCTTGAGAGTTCAGGAACCATCCCTACATGTTAAAATTCCAGCATTGATGAGGATTATATCCTGTTACGTAGAAATCATAATCACAATGTAAGGTAACACTTCACGGGTGAAGCCATGACTTTCCCAGCCCTCTGTTATACCATAAATGCTTACCTTTGTTCTCTGATGAAATACCTCTCTGTACATAGAATTTGCATCAAAGGTTTCTGGCTGGGCTTTTTAATTGTCAGAACAGATTAAATCTGAGTATTTTTCTTCTAGCAGCCTACTAATCTCTGAAAAGTGCTTCTCTACTCCCCCTTCAAAGCAAGATGGTGAGTTTACTGGCAAAATCTGTGTATTCTGCAAGAGAAACCCAGTGTTGTGCACTGTGAACATACAGCATCAACTGGATTTGTACATCAGAGTATGGAGCTCTGTGGAATCTGTAGTAGCAGCACTGATTGAAGCCAGCCTATTTCCTGTACTGCTCCTGACATGTTCATTGTTAATAATGCATCTCACTTCCCTTAGGAGCTGCTCCACTGTACATGACAGCAGCAAGCAGCTACCTGGAAATATCCGTGGTCCCAAATGCACCTGGTGGAAAATTTGGAGCTGTGTACATGCATCCCTGTGTTCTGAAACATCTCCCAAAAGCAAAGTGGGACGGTCCCTACAGCGGGGCCATGTGCTTGGAAAACCAGGCCTTGTGACAATTCAGAGTCCTTGTTTTTGTAGGGTCCCTTCAACTACATCACATTGAAAGGAGGAGAGGAAGTTTTGTATTAATTTATTTCATCTGCTTCATTATGTAGTTTCATTATGAACATCTTGGTTACAATTCTCGTATCTCTGAAACTAGCGGGAAGTAATGTTCCTGTAATGAGGAAAACAGGAATGATCAGATACTGCCTAAATTGACAGATACGAGATTTCTTGCGACTCTGCTAATGTGTAATTCATTTATGCAAACTTAATGTCCATTAACATTTCTTGTAGAGCTCCATTAGCTTTAATAATACATTAGCACCTTTGTGAGGCTTGATCAAATACTTAACGGGGAAGAGCAAAAAATGCCATCTACCCTGTTGTGTGAGGGGATTGGAACTGGCTGGGTTGAAAGGGCATTGGACAACCTTGAGGCTTCCTTTCAGAAATCTCTGGAATTCTGGTGATTTGGTGGAATAAGAGAGGGCCATTGTTTTGGGGGAAAAAAGCTAATGGTTTTTCTCTTCTTCCTCAAATAAATCCCTCCTTGGCCATTTTGCAGCCTTAGGGGTTGCCCATGTGATGAGGACAAAGCACCCCTAAAGCACAGTTCTTTGTCCAGCTCCTGCACTGGAGGCCCTGCTGTATCCCATGCACAGGTTTCTGCCCTTATTTCTGATTTTTGTGTCTCCTTGGGCTGTTCCAGAGCAGCTTGTGGGAATGAGGCACGAAGCTTCCTTGGGAGGGAACAGGGATGAGCAGGAGAAGGGAGTTCAGACTGATCTGGTTTTATGTTCTGAATTAAACTCTGAGCTTGCTAAAAGTAATTATGTTCCAGTGTGGGGACTTGACCCCGTTAGCCCAGTCTGTTCCTTGAGTGGGCAGCAGCAGATGGCCAGAGAGGAGCCCCAGACCAAGAACTTGTCCTGTGTTGTGACCTTGTGGCTCCAGGACTTGATGGGCTGGAGCATGGCCAGACACCTGCATTTCATACCTGCTGCAGGGCTTTAGCTTAAAGAAACGCCACTTTCAGAGCAAACTCTTAGGCTTGAGCTTCTCCTGCCTAGTGATGATGACTTGTTGGCCAGTGGGAGGGTGTGGGCAGGAGGAAGAGCCTCTTGTCCTTGCACACGGGCATCTCCATCAGTGCTCCCATGGAGCTCGGCCCTGGGGGCAGCTGGGCTCCTGCACTGACGCCTGCTCAGTTGGTTTTAGGTGTGGAATGTGCAGCAGAGGATGCTTCTCTGGCCTGTCCTTGCAGGCGCCCAGCTGCCAGGTTTCTGCCGCAGTGACACTCGGAATTCCTTGCTCATCCCGTGTGGATGTGGCTGCTTTCCCTGCAGCAGGTCAGTTACCTGGGCTGTGTGTTCCACCCTGCTCTGACATCCTCTCCCCACAAATCCTGCCCGCTCCCCTCACGGCCACAGCGGAGCCGCCCCTTCAGAGCATCAGCAGGGCACAAGAAAATGTTTTTCTCAGCAGATGTCGTATTTCTCTGCACTTAATGTATCCAACTGGAGCATGAAATGTGTTGGGGAAGGACAGGAGGATGATGGATGGAGCCTGCTCAGATAATGAGATATTTTTTGTCTGACTAAATTTCAGAGTAGGGAGATATTTTTTCTGAGATGGAACTCAAAAGTTGTGGGGTTTGTTTTCCAAGAAGAAAGCAGAAAGCAGCAATGCTGGGTGTTAACTTGCCCTACTCATGGAGTAAGCTATTTGTTGCATATCTACCCTGGCACAGAGTGAAGTTTGAGGTGAATGCTTTCACGTGGCTGTAGGGTGTGTTACTGAAAAGAAATCTCTGCGAACAAGCAGTGTAACACTTGTGAAACCCTCCCCTAACACTCCTGAAAAGCAAAGCAGGGTTGGACCATGAGCACAGCTCACTCTCAGTGGCCACAGCACTTGCAGTGCCTGAGGAACATCCTGAGCCCTGCGCTGTGGCAGCACAGTCCGTGGCACCGGGGTGGAAACGTCCCCGGCTCTGCTGGCATCGCTCTCTGTGCCTCGGATCCGTCACTGAGCCATGGGAGACCAGTGAGTTGGGTGTAATTTTAGAAAGGAAATGGAGCAACAAAATGCATTAAAATATCGTTAAGGAGCTGAATGGAACCAGATATTCTGGGAGACGTGCGAGCTGAGCCCTTGCAGCGCGTTTGCTGCTCTCATTACCAGATACTGGCAGTGAGTGTCGGAGCCTGGATTTGGCCTTTTCTCCGGGCTGGCTTTTTGTTCTTTTCTGAAGTTATAATTAACTGCGCCTTCATTTCTGTAATACCTACAAGTGTACCTTTAAAGCCTGCCCCAGTGGAGTTTTGTTGCAGCCTTTGCTGTTGGGATAGAACTTTTTGTGCCCAATTATGTTTAAAATCAGCCACATACGTTTGCTGCAGCATCTCCGGTAATCCTTACATTTCCGTCCAGTACAAATATTAATTGCATAGTTTGCAGTGAAGTTATTAACATCAATGTAATTTATCATCTGGAGATTGCTAAAAGCGAATAAATGAGTTGTTTTGTTCAGCAAGGTGTTGACCCCTTCAGAAACTTTGATTTAAAGCTATTTTTCTTCTTTTAGTGAATATGAAAAGCACCACAATCAGCCGAGTGTTCAGTTATTTGATTTTCTGGGGCATTAGCCACTCTTGTTTGTGACATTTCCCAGTTGGGTGCTCGTTTGTGAGCTCATTAATAAGGTTTTCTCAGAGGAATGTTGTTGGGAGCACAGAGCGTGTGGGGCGGCCGGGGCTCTGCCATTTGCAGGCATTAAGCAGCAGAGTGTGCTTAAATATTAAAAGAGAAGTGTTTATCCCCAAAAATGCCTGTCAGGCTCTGGCATTCCTTCTCCCACAACAAGCAAAATGATTAAATTGCTTTTGTTAAGGGTGAATTTTGCAGAGTCGTGTTTGGGGTTGACAGGCTCTTCCAGACAAGCTGTGATCTGCCAGTCCTGCTCATTCCTTATTTTAGACACGAGATCTATTTATTGAATAGATTTCTGTATTTTGGCTGAAAATCAGCAGTGCAGCCTCTCGTCCTTGTCAGAGGTGAGGAGCAGGCAGGGGATTGCCAGGCTGGGCTGGCTCTGATGCAGAGTGCATTCCTGATGAGCAGCCCCACTGGATTTTGGAATAAAGGTGGCTGTTGTTTACACCTGAGGATCCGTGTTAACTTTGCTGACTTCTCTCAATATTGAAAAACACATTTTTCCTGCTCTTCCCTGAGTGAGATCGGAGACTCGCACAAGCTGGTTTTTTGAGCAGCTCTCTTGGGCACAGAAGAGAGCAGAGATGAGGAGCTGGATGAGGCAATGCCCACCTGAAGGGAGATGTGTAAAGCATTAGCTGGGAAATGCTGAGGCTGGATTTACCTGCAGTGTGCAGGAACACAGCCTGGCCCGCAGATCCTGTCCCGGGGATGCCATCTGGCGTCAGGTTTGCCAAGAGGTGCGTCAGCAGTTCACGCAGGGATCAGAAAACGGATTTTAAACTTGGACCCGGCACCTCCTCGCCTGGCAGAGGCCAGAGCCTGCTCGGCTGAGTCGCTGGCAGAGGCCGTGTTGCCGGCTTCTCTGCTGGCTGGGGTCTGGTGCTGCCAAAAACACCGCGTGCTGGTCTCCCAGCTCTTGGGAAGAAGCCTTCTGGCTGTTTCCAGCCTCAGCAGGGAGCGTGTCCTCTGGGAAGGGAGGGCTGGGGTGGTCAGCGAGGGTCCCGCGGCCCCGGAGCATCGCGGCACCCCGGGCACCAAACCTGCCTGGCGGGGCACTGAGCTCGCCTGCCTTCAGATCCTGGGCTGGCCTGATGAAAGGAAACGGGGTGGAAATAATAGGCTTAGGCTTTTGTAAGGCCCCAAACTCGGTGTAATGTTTTATCTCGGCTGATTAATGACATCTAAGCATTATCGATGAAGTGCATGTTTAAATGGATTAAGAAATCACTAACTGGCAGATCTCAAAGGATAGTCATTAGGGAGTAATCAGCAGTGCTGGTATTTTTAGAGGGAACGCAGGGGCCTGGGTGCTTGGCCCGATGCTGTTCAGTCGAAGCATTTGAAGTTCTTAAAAAGTCACTGTTAATAATCTTTGCTGATGGCACAAAAATGGGGCGGGTGGCTAAAAAAGGAAGAACTGGGACAAATGCAGAATAACTGGAGTGGTTTGGTAAGTTCCCAAGCACGGAGCTTGAGAGCTGTGAAAGTCAAATGCGTGCAGGCTTCGGTGGCCTGTGGCATCCTGAGGGGAGGTGGGGGTTTTGGGGTGCGTGGTCCCTCTGGGGGCTGCAGCCCCCGCTGCACGGGCACGCGCCGTGCCTGTTGTGAGAGAAATCTCATCAAATGCAGAATGGCTTTGTAATAAGTTTTTCAAATTGGCTGCTGCTACAGTGTAACCTTTAGACGACTGGTATTTAACCTTGTATATCACTCTGAGCTTTTGAATGAATTTAGCTTAATAAAGGTGCCTTATTAAATTACGAGGCTGTTTTTTTTAAGCCTCTGGAAAGAGGCGTAGTAGGAAATAGCTGTGGGTTGTTGGGTCTAATTGGCTTCCACGGAGCACACAGGGCCTCGGGTGCACAGATGCAAGTGTTTATTTTTATGTAACAATCCAGTGGTGTGATGTTATGAAGTGCCAAGTTGAGGATTCCAGGGTAGTGCAGTGCACTTGGTGGTGAAAGCTGCCACGTCTTGCCTTGTGTTACCCTGCGAGGTGGTGGTCACCCCGCGGCACGGAGCCGTGGGCACCACTGCTGGAGCGTCTCTCGTAACAGGGCGCTGGCAGGGAGCTGGGGCGGGCTTGGAACCATCAGTGCTCTGTCCGTGTGCGCTGCTAAATGTCACAGGAGCGGGCTGGGGGTCCCAGAGCGCTCGGCATTTCACACACCTGCACGCGGAGTCCATAATCTGCAGGAAATACACTGACTTGCTGTGAGGCAGGGGGTGAGCACTGCAAGGAGAATTTAAGATGGTCTAAAAGCACGTCCTTAAACAAAGGGAAAAGGACACCATTGCCCCTCCAGATTCTTGAGTGAAATTTATTTTGCATACCATGAGCCTAATGCCAGCTGCTTCTCTGGAGTGTCCAGCCATCCCTCTGAATCCTCCAGGTCTGGGTACGTTTCCCTGAGTGCCCTCTGTAATTCCCAGCGTGCTGACAAGTCCTTTGCTGTGGTAGCTCCGTTGGGAAGCTCTTGGCTTTGGCAGTGCTGGCATATGTGCTGATAAAACCAGATTCCTTTTGCAGGTGACACCTCAGCCATACCTGGATGCAAACAGGACGTGTCCTCCTCACTGTCGTCATCAGTTTAATGAAGCCCAGGGGGCTGGGAAGTGGCAGTGGAAGGGCTCACCCAGCTTGGTGGGAGCGCATGGAGTTGGCAGTTTTCTCTCAGTACAGTGAGCTGGGTGTATTCCTCCTGATTTCCATAAGTAATTGTCATTAGTAAACAGCTCATTAGAAATACTAAACTCACCTAATAGGAAGGGGATGCAGCGGGAGAGGCAAACAGCAAAAGGAGGCGTTTCAGTCCCCATGTGCCGAGTAAACTGAGCTGGGAAAGTTTCCTGCTCCTTCCACAGCACGGATATAATTACCATCCATGTTCCTGGCACAGGCTGGTGCTGCTGCTGCAAAACACATCAGAAAGGGGGAGCAGATGGCTGTGGGGGTGGGAGTTGTGGACGGGAGTGGTGAGCGCAGTGCCGAGGATGTGGCAGGTGATTTATTTGCTGCATAACACCGGAGTGAACTTGTCCTCCCGTGCTCCTTGTGCAGAGCTAGTGCCACTCCAGGGCTGGAGCGCCTTTCCAGGCACACCGAAGCTGCCCCATTTCCCGTGGCATTGGGACTTGTCCCCTCAGTCAGTGACACCCCAAAGCGCTGCCACTGCCCCCAGCCCACAAGGACACCCCAGTTCCAGAGCTGCAGGAAGCATCTGTAACAGGGATTAGTTGATGAAATGTTGTGGTAGAGTCATCTCGGGAGAGGATTTACTTGTGTAGCTTATTCCATTACTGAAAATTATGAGAGTTTAAATTGGTTAAATCCTGACACGCGGGGTTTTTTTCCCTAATCTCTATTATTCCATAGGAGGCATGTTAATGAGTTAAACACAGTTAATAAAATGCAGCCAGCCAATATTTTGGGTAGCAGTTACTCTCAAAGGAAATAGAAACATTTAAATGGTTTCAACCTTTATGCATACTGATTTTTTTCCTTCCTTTGTTCCTTACAGTTGAGTAAATTCCTGAAAAATATCTATGGCTTAATGGCACTTGTAGCCTTGAATTGATTTCCTGCACTGATAATGTCTTAGCTACAGCTCAGATTGCGTTTTTAATCTCTGTTTCAGTCATGGGAGGTAATGAATTTTTTAATTGTGGACTCCAGGTTTGTAGTTTGGCTCTTTTTTTTCCTGCAGGGTCTTCCTAAAGTGTTTTTGAGTTGGCTCCCTAACTATCCACGCTTCAATTCTGTTTATTGTAGGATTTAGAGGAGCTCCGTCTGGACGAGGTACAGCCTCGTGTTGTTTACACAGAGGCAGCTGTGGCTCTGTTTGTGTCTCTAACAAGCATCTCTTGTCCAGCCCAGCGCGTTAACACTCGTGGACTGCAGGGGTTGTGGTGCGGGAGTCGCTGATACACCACAAAACCCTTCCGTTGCGGGCACCACGCGTCTCTCCGGCTTCCCCTCAGCACGAAGGCAGATGAGTTCCTGAGCGAGCTCAGGGAGGAGCCGTGCAGCAGAAGGCCCTTCCCGGGAAGCACGGTGCCCGGCAGGGCTGGCGCTGCTGCTGCCGGCTCCGAGCGGGCGAGGGGGAGCGGCGGGGGCGCGAGCCGGGGCTCACGGAGCCGTGTTTTGTGTCCTGCAGATAAGCCTCAAGTGCGGGTTTCTCAGAATTACCCCTTGCAAGGCCTGACGAGAGAAGGGGAGCCGCTGGAGCTGACGTGCACAGCCTTTGGAAAGCCACAGTAAGTTGGACCCTTCCCAGGGGTGGCCCAGGGGGGCCGGTGGTGACGGGACGTTGCGTGGCCACTGTTCCTGTTGCCATTCTCTGCTGCGAAGACAATGTCCCAGAGTGAAGGAGAGATGCTTCCTGCACCCAAACATCTGCTGACTGCTGAAGATACCCGGTTTGATTTGCATTTATTCCTGTGCACCTAATGGCTGAGGGATTTCCACTGGCAGAGCTCTTAGGAGAGCCCTTCCTGGCCACTCTGCAGCAGCCTTCGGGTGCAGAAGGGAAAGGCTCCCAACTGGACACCTCTTCCAGCAGGGAATGGCTTGGGTGGCATTATTCTGCAGTTAATCTTGGGTTTGGTTAAATCTGCAAAAGCAGGGTCAAGGGCTGCATTGTGTCCCCAGGAGGTGCCAGTGCATGGACACTGAGCCCTGGGGAGGTGGGATGGATCCCAGGTAAGGCAGTCCATCCTTCTGCTCATACTGACTGTGTGATGGTTTTCCTCCCCCTTGGTGCCCCGTGTGGTTTTTATAGAATACCAGTTTTATTCTCTCTCCTCTTCTTGCTAAGCCCTTGAGGCTTTCTTAGGCAGTTGATGAAATTTATGCATCAGGAAAATCCTGGCAAGGGAGGGTAGATTTTCTCACACTTCCATTGCTGTTCTAATTTAAGTTTCGTCGGCTTTATTTTTTTCAAAATACTTTCTCTTCCACTTGGATTTATGGCTGTCAAGTATTTACTATCCTTGTTTATTTTCATCATGTCCATAAGATTTCTGCAAACATCCCTGAGATCTGTCAGTGCCTCCTTGGCAGTGTGCCCAGAGCTCGGGCGTGGGGAGCTGGACCCCATCCAGCTCAGCATTGTGGGCAGAGCAGGCACCCAGTGCCGAGGAGGCTCAGGCTGCCCTCATCCTCCCTGGTAGCCTACATCCCCTTCCCCAGTATTTTCTTGATTCCCATAGTACTTGCTTGGTTCCCACTTCCCAGTTTGTTCTGTTTGGCACGAGGCCAGTCCCTTCCCTGTGCATCGGCGGCTGGCACATCCCTGCTGAATTCCGTTTAGTAGCTGTTCCCTGCTCAGAGCCTGCCAAGCCCCTTTGCATTCCTGCTCCCCTGGGTACCTGCAGTGCCTCCCATTTGCTATCAGCTGGGAATCTAATGAACAGGCTTCTCTACATTTTTTCCTTGCAGGCTATGAGTAAGACATTCCCATGTTAAATAGGACAGACACATCTCCCTGGCAGCTTGCCGCTGCACGTTGCGTGGTGCTGGTGATGTGCTGGGAATTGGCTTCTCTAGGTCACTTCACCTGGGTCTCCCGAAGCTAAGAAAATACACAGTAAAGTAATGAGCTGGGTTTGGCTCCATCTTTTTAAGACAAAGAGGTTTCATGAAGTCTTTTACAGATGTTTTAGATGAAGGGGGAGGTTTCTCCAGTTAAGCGAAGTAATTTCTCTGCAAAATTTGGCAACATAAATACTGGGGGAAGGAAGCTCAGAGGGAAAAAAAGACCAGAGAGGAGAAATTTCTATTTGGTATTAATACAGATATTTTGTTAGATTAGACACAACCTCCTAAAACCATTACAGAAGTGGGAAGATGCTGAAATGGTCACTTGTGGGGCATCCAGGGACACAGTTCTCTGAGCAGCGGCTGCTGTGTCGTGTACCAGCTGGGAAACCTGGGGTCTCTGCAGCACAAAGAGCCCTTTAAAAACTGCAACCAGGAACATCCAAACCCTTCCCACCCATATTGAAGTTAAACTGCGCTTGGGCTCGCTCAGGAGCTTCTGCTGCCCATGCCGTGGCTCGTGTGCCAATGCCATGGCAGCGAGGGACAGAACGCCAAGCCTGTGTCCAAAACCAGTCAGCCAATGCCCAGCTGAGCTTGCTTGGTGCTGGATCCATCCAGTAGCTTGGCTGGGATACTGAAGCATCAGGAACTTCTGCATCATGCCTGTCATGTGCTGTTTGGACCCAGGGAAAAGCCTGAGCCATGGGATACCTCCAGCAACATGAAGTCCCAGTTGCCAGCCTTGGAGCCAGGCAGGCTGAGAAATGCTGTGCTGCAGGAAACTCCCCTTTAAGAGGAGCTGAGTGGCCTGAAAGGTTCTGGAATTTTCTTGCTGAGAAACAGCTGATCTGTCTCCTCACTGCTGCTTGAAGACATAATAATAATAGATGCCAAACACCCCCACATACTCAAAAGACCCCACAAAGCCCTTCAGCGCTTCAAATCTTTACCACCTCCAACAAACCAGGCTCATTTCATTCCCTGAATAATGCAGACCCCCTGCCCACTGGGTTCCATCAGTGTGGGATGTAAGAAGGGGTTGCCAGGCGGGTTGGGGGACAGGAGGAGGGCTGGAACTCCCTCAGTGCACGGCACAGCCCCTGCTGAGGTCACCAGGTCCCTGGCAGCATGTGGAAGGGTTCAAACTTGACAAAACCTTACTTGTTCTGCTGTCCAGCTCTGCCCTCAGAGCACCCTGTGGATGAACACTGAGTCTGTAGCCGCAGAGCTTTCAGGTTTGCTGAGTAAGCGAATGATTAACCACTAATGAACTTTCTTCCTGCTTGCATTAGTGTTTTCAGAAAATTTAAGCTCTGGATACAGTTTCCTGTTGGGTTAAAATAAATTTAAATTGAGGAAGCCCAACAGCATCTGGGCTTGAGTAGAACAAAAAAGTATGTGTTGTTTCTTTACAGTTTTTCTTGGTTTGGGCTTTCTGTCTGTGGATGAACTTTTGAAGATGCCATCTTGACCATAGGAAAATAGTAATGTGACTGTTTCTTTTTCTCCCTCCTCTGTAGGCCTACGGACATGAGGTGGTTAAGAGTAGATGATGAGATGCCTCAACACGTTGTAGTGTCTGGTTCAAACCTTCTCATTAGTAACCTAAACAAAACAGATAATGGTACATACCGCTGTGAGGCTTCCAACGCGGTGGGGAAATCACATGCGGATTACATGCTGTTTGTATACGGTACGTGAGAAAAACCACCGTTCTTCTAGACTCGTTTACACGTAATTGCAACATGCCCTGCTCGGAAAGCTGTGACAGAACTTAACATTTGCTCAATGCCAGGTTCACAGGCAGCTCCTGACACCCCGATGCTGTGCTGGGCTGGGGTAGGGGCTGGGAAGGCCCTGGGGTGCTGCTGGGGCTCTCAGTGTGTGCGCAGAGCCTGTCCCGGCTCCGGGAGCTCCCACCCCGTGCTGCCAGGTGAAGCCTAAGGGAAGCCAGAGCAGGGGCGTGGGAGAACTGTGCAGTTCTCCTTGGACTTCTCAATGGTTTCTTGTCCTTCTGGTAACACCTCCTCCAGTGGCCTGAGCAATGGTCCAAGGGGTTCTGAGCCTTTTACTAGCAAGTTAATCAGCCAGCACCCCTAGATAATTACAAACCAGTAAATAAACTGGAGGAATGTGATGCCTTCAGCCTGTCTGTGTGGCTGGGCAGACACTAAAACATGCCTCAGCATCTTTTAAAGCGCTGTGAAGTACCTGCATTAATTCTTCGTTTCACCTGCGTTACTGTGGCATTGCTGTAAACCTCATGCCCCTGCCATGAGGTGTTGCATGGAATGGAGATTGAGGAGGCACTTGCAGAGCGATCCCCCAGTTTAATGATGAGCTGTTCCTTGGGCTGCATTTTAAACTTTCTCTGTTAAGGGCGGTTGTGTGTGGCTGGGCCGAGTTCCTGGTGGTTCCTTGGTCTTTTCTGACCCGAACGATGCTATGGTTCCACTCAGATGGGACAGAAACTTGGTTTGAAGTTTGTTCCATGCAACAGCTGCCTGAAGCTCTGCAATCTTAGCTCTCTGGCAGTTACTCTGATCCAGTCAGAGTGGAGAACCTCCCATACCTCTCCAAATGCCACCTCTGCAGGAGTGATTTTAAGCCCAGTCTTAGAAACTTGCCTAAAGACTCAAGGTAGCGACGGCTTTGAGCTTATACAGAACTCCTGTACCCCATCCTATAGGTAGTTTTTCTAGTGCCTCTCACTCCACAAGGCTCCAGTTTACAAAATGAAGTCAGGTACGCATTTATGATTGGTAATTTGCATGCTCACAATATAAAAAACCCACTTGTTCACATCAGTGTTGAAAGAAATAACCAGTGTTGCAGAGAGCAGAGCAGTTGGAATAGGACACAGGCAGTTCCCCATGAGACAGAAGCCATGAAAGCTGCTGCCATAAAGCAGCTGAGGGGCAGGTGTAGTTTTGTGTACCCGTCCTGGGCCGAGGCAGGGCTGGGGGAACCTCCCCAGCATCACTGGCCTGAGGTTCCCTGAGCTCCTGGGAAATCTCACATAATTACTCTGCATTTTGGGTGTGACGAGAATAGACAGCACAGGACTTCCTTGGGGTTTCTTCCTCTCGGGGTTAAATCCCCAGGAGACCCAAGATAGCTTTACTTGGAAGGAGATGCAGGTTCTCAGGGGACAGGGGCCTGTGGGTTCCAGCTTAGGCATCTGGCAGATGTGTTGCCCGTGTAGAGGAGGGCTACTCATGGGCAGAGGAGGGTTTTACACATCCCATCATCTCCAGTTCCTGCACATTTGGGAGCATCCTGCTGGGCTCTGCCACTCTGGACAGCACAAGGAATCCTTTTAACCCTTGGTTTAAAAGGGAGAAGTCCAGAGTGGGGAGGGAGAGGTTGGGCTGTGGCTGTCAGCTTCAGCATGCTCACTGGTGGAGCACTCAGACCTCCGGCCCGTGGCTCCTTTCACCACCAAAAGCAGCCAATTCCCCAGCAGCACACAGAACACAGGGGCTGTGTCCGTGCACGGCGGGGGCCGTGGTGGCAGGACGTGCCTCGCTGTCCTCACCAGGACAGTGCAGAGCTGCCCCAGCCACGTCAGGGTGGGAGCTGAGGGGCTGCAGACACAGAGCAGGGCCCGGCACAGCCCGGGGGAGGCAGCATTCAGGCAGTCCCGTTCCCATCTCTGCAGGTCAAGGGTTTGATGTGGCTTCCAGCAGCTGAGCTGTGCCCAGCACCTTCCCAGCTGCCCACGTGGGATGGGGATGTACAATCACCTTGACACACACTGGAAACATGCTCATTTCTAAAATCCATTTTATGCTTTTCCTCTCCATGGGCACAGGCAGATACATTGCTAGAAACTTCCAGCTCCATTAGCTCATTAGCTCCAGCATTTTTTTTTGCTTTTATGGAGGAAGAGCCCACGGCCCAGCCAGTCTCAGGCTGATCAGTGTGAGTCTGGGGGCCCTTCCCCAGTGCTGCTGTGCCCCTCTGTCCCTGGGGAGATGTGTGGGTCAGGAGCAAGACACAAGCACAAGGGCTGAGATCTTGGGATGCAGAGGAAAGACAGTGGCTGCTCATAGCGCAGCGAGCTCTGAGGTGATGTTCCTTAACTCTTGGGAAGTTGGATGGAATATAATAAAGGTGCAGTATATAATTAAAGTTCAGATATCTTAATTAGGGGATCCAAGGGAACTTGCTCAGAGATAAAAGAGTAGCAGATGTGTTAGTGAGGAGCAGCTGACGTGCTACGGAGGAAACCTAAAATCAAAAGCCCATGAAAGGTTTCATGCTCTATTATTGCCGAATGAATCCGTAGTTCAAAGTCTTTCTGACTACTTAGTGCATTCAGTTTGATCATCTGGGCATTGATACATATTTTTTCTTTTACATCTTCTCATATCTACCTTCTCCTGCCCGATAGTTTTGATAAGGATGTGTCCCTGTGTGTAACATCAATCCCGTGACGAGCAGCAGGGTTTAAATCTCAACAGGTCCAGTCCATCTGAGAAATGGTCACAGAGAGAAACATCTCATTAACGATGCCCTAGTAGCAAAAACAAGAGTGTGTAACTGAAATTGTCAGAAAAATATTGACTTTTTTTTAAATTAAAAGAGCTTGGTGGAATTCCTCATACCTGGAAATTGATATTCAGCAATGATGTTGTCATTTCTCTGTATTCCTTACCATCTTTGAAGTAGTTTTTAACATCCTGCTGCCATGTGTTCATAGAGGAAGAGCAGTGAGGTTCATGGCCCTGGGAAGACAGTGAGATCTGTTCATGTGCTGTTAATGTTCAGGCTGTGAAGCACAGCAGGGCCCCTCACACAACCCTCCCACCTGGGTTTGCAAATGTATCCATAGACAACCACCAAAGCACCACTGTGTCTCTCCTTTGTATGTGCAAACTGGTCTTTTTGTTGTGGAAAGTGTGCAGTTTATTTTCCTTATGCCTCTCCCATTCCATTTCTCTCTCATTGACTAATTTGTGCTGGGTTTTATTTATTTTTTTTTAGCATTGTAGAAGGCAGAAAGTGGGGGAGAGGTTGGGGCCAGGTTCTCCAGCCCGAGTAAGTGTGGGCAGAGGATCTGGCCCTCTGTCCCTGCACTGCCGGGCTCTCCCCCTGGGATTGAGCCAAGGAAAGCCCCCAACCCCTGCGCTGCTTCTTAGCATCCTTGTTTTCCTCTGATCACAATTGACCGCTGTTGTGTTCTGCTTGTTTTTTTCTTAATTTGCTTTTTTATTATTTTCCTTTTTATATTTTATCCAGATCCCCCCACAACTATCCCTCCTCCCACAACAACCACCACCACTACCACCACCATCCCTACCACCATCACAGGTACGGTACCTTCATAACCATTGGAAATGTCCTGAATGTTTATTGTCTTTTATGTATATAAGCAGAGCATGAAGCCTGGGGAAAAACAACAAACCAGTTACTTGCAGTATTTTTTTTTTCCCTCAAATACACCCACCCACAGCACGAGCCCTGGTCCGGGAGCTCAGCGCGTCGGACGGTCCTTGCCGTGGGTGTGGGTGTTCCTGAAACGTGGGAATTGTCATGGCAGAAAAAGTGATTAATTCAGTTACTGGTGGCCAGCACTGGGTGCTTCAAACACAGGATGCCAACAGCCTTAGAGCTCCCTTAGCATGGGCAGTCGTTTCAGCCTCCATCCTGTCAGTATCACTTTCTGAGCAATTTATAGAAAGTTTGGTCTTCGGCAATTCAGTTCACCTGATGTGACTCAAGATGCTTTTTCTCATGCCGAGGTGTTGGTCTTTCTCTGTGATAAGCTTCTCCCTCACTCTCCCAGAAAAGGGAATTCCACCAGTCGTTTTTATTGAGTGAGTGCCATCCATAGGCCCATTCTTGAGGAGCTGCCTTTCAGCTTGTGAGGTTTTCTGTGTCTAGCGAGAAAAGATGAATAAAAACAACCAGCAAGATCATGACACCTCTCTCTGACACATCCTCATACCTCCTCACAGACCTGACTCATCAGGAAAACCCTTCTGATTTATTTGTAACCATTTGCATTGTCATTTCTCTGACCTTTCCTATTCCAACCGCTGCTTTTGCTTTTGCTCGCTGCTTTTTGTGGGGCTTTATTTATTTATTTGTTTGTTTATTTATTTTTGAGGCCGAGGTGACAAACGGCAGGTGAGGATGGACCATTGAATAGCTAATGGCACAACGTTTACTGTTTGCTGTAAAGCACCCCTTGTGTAAATGCCTTCACATTTTATTTGCTTTTATGACGCTGCTCAGCTGACTCTGACCACCCTGCCCAGGGCGTTTCGTGGCTTCTTTTCCTTCCGAGGTTTCTGCACCCAAGGCAGGCCCCGCTGGCACGGACGAAGCCTCTCTCCCAACGTGCCTTAACGCGCGCCGGCGGCCACCATCGCCCTGCCAGCCCTCGCCGTGCTCTGCTTCCTCCCTGCAGGTGCGCACCGGTAACCCCAGCTCCACACACCCAGCTTGGGGTGCTTGGGATGCTCTGCCGTGACCGCTCTCCCTTCCTCCGTGTTTCTGATTTCTAGACTTAACCCGCTTTTGTTTCAGTGGAGGTTTGAAGCTTTCTCAGAGCCTCCCTAAGAGCTGTTGGCAGAGAAGCTCGGTCGTGTGTACGCAGGCTGTACGTGGACGTGCTCGCAGGTTTCTTTGTTCGACGGTAATTGCTCATGGATTTCGGAGGGCTAAAAGGAACAATGTGTCTTGATGCTTGGGTAACCCCTTCAGTTAATCCTGGTGCCTGCAAGCCTTAATGACTGTCCTTTTTCTGGGAACTGGGTTGTTATCAGCCTGTCATTTTAGGGATTGCCCCAGCACTGCCTTCCAAAGCCTGTGCTGTCCTCGCTTGTCCTCACGCGTGGTGTCAGCTTCTACAGTACTGGTTGGTTCTTCCCAATGAATAGCAGTTTGGTTGTTTGCTGTCCTGCTACAAGTGCTGTGGCTCATCTCTGGATGCTCAGTAGCCTTTGGGCTTTCCTTCACAGAGTTGTCCAGATTTTTTATATTAAAAATAAGAAGGGGAGGGGAGGGTGGTGGTTCTTGCAGTCAGAAATGGCCATGTCATCAGTCTGGCAGAGGTTCCTTGGGGTAAGGAGCATGTGGCTGTCCAGCGTTGTTCTCTCACCTTTGTTTGCAGTGGTGGAGGATCTCAGACTCTGGTGGCAGAACTCAGTGGGTCTCCGTTGCCTTCTTGATGCTTTTCTGTGTTGGCTTTGAACTGCTGAGGAGGCTGGAAAAGTAATGAAAATGTGATATTGCTCCCTGGTTCCAGCAGTTCCTGCTTGCGACTTGTCTGAAGAAGATTCACTAATGCTAATAAGAGAAATTACTATTTTCTTCCCTGGCACTGAGTCTTCTTGACATGCATCTTACCATCCACTGCCCATGAGCTGTGTGCTTTTCCCACCCAGAGCAGCTGAGGCTTCTTCTCCCTCTGTCGTGCCGAGATGTGCGCGCGTGTCCTCTCCAGTCAGTGCTCAGGAGCGTGGAGCCACACCAGCTTCTGCCCTTCAGTAGTTAAGAGACTTTCTGGCTGGAAAAAATTAGGTCAAATTAACATAATCTCTAGAATTACATAGCAGAGTAGTGTTGGAACATTTTTCAAAGCCTTGAGAGACACCTGATAACTTAATTCCTGTCCTCACCCAAATGCTCCAGCGTTCTTCCTGTCTGACAGAGGAGAGGTGGGAGCCAACGGGGTGTTCTCTGAGCTGCTGGCAATCCAGGCATCTGGAGCCAGCCCAGTGGAATCCAATCCTTAGGATGAGGTGGGCTTGAAATATGTTTTATTTTGCTGTTCTTCCCCTACTTTTAGTATAAACCTGACCTAGTTCATGTCCCCTGGAACCATGGAGTAGTTCTGAAAAACAATTGTCTTGCTTTAATTGAATAAAACATGGGGAGAGAGGCTGCACTGAAGCAGTTTCTAGCAGGTGACCCTAGAAAATTCTGCCCTTGGAGTTGTCCTTTTGATTTATTGGTTCAGGGAGTTTCTGGGGGAGCTCTTGGAAAGCTGACCTGATGCTTTCTCCAGCGAAGGACAAGCTGAGCAGTGGTGAAGTTTCCAAACACCGTGACCTTTAGAGCTTCCCCTCTGTCACTTTAGTGTAGGTGCTTGAAAAGATTTCCTGCGTGACAGCTTGATCTTTTCCATGTATCCTCCAACAGCATTGATATTCCGGCCATCCTTTGGTGTTTCAGCCGTTATCGCTGCCGAGCCCTTTTTTATCAGTTAAATTGTCCTTGTGGCTTTCTTCATTAAGATGTACAATACGATACAGCAGAGCAAGCAGCATCATTTGAATTACCCTGGAGTTGCTCCTTGAAATGCTGGGCTTGGGCAGCTGTTGTTTCCTGGGAAATAAAGGTCCTTAATCACAGTCCAGCCCCGATCTCGGGGCATGGCGCTGAGCGTTCGCCTGCCTTTCCCAGCCTCCTCGCTCCTGCCCGCCTCTCAGGATCCACGGCATCATTCATAGGTGAACATTTGCATTTCCCACACTTTCTCCACAGGTGGAATTGCACAGGTGTTTGGCAGCAGTTTTGGTGAAGACCTGGGGGTGACAGGTGCAGGTTGCCGGTGTTGCCAGCCCTGTGGCGGATGCTGCTGTCTCTGTAAAGGTGCTGCTCTCCATCCTTTGCAGCAGCATCAGCAGCAGGCTGGGGGCCCCCCATGTCCTCCCTGGAGTGCCCATTTAGAGCATGTTTCAAATCCCACTGATCCCTTGGAGTAGCAGTTGTGGGTGTGTGTTTCAGGGGGCTGTAACATTGCAGGCAGTGGTTTTCACTTAAGAATTCCCAGCCCCCTCAGTGAATGCGTGTGGAAAGCACTGAGCCCATACTGTGGAAACAGCTCTGAGTTCCTTCCTGATTCTCAGGATTTCTACAAGCAGGAGCAAGCTCTCTTTGTCTTGGAGGCATGCAGGAGCCAGTGAGCTCCAAAGCAGGAGCTGAGAATTGATGCTGAGTTGGAAGATCAGCTCTTGAGCAGGGACACATGGTGGTGGAACTCTCCCGTCACCCACAGGGGCAGAAGCTGTCTCCTGATCAGCACAACTTCGTGTCATCCCAGGTGCTTTAAAAATAATAGCACGTGGAAATGTGAATGCTGTCAGCAAAAATAGGTTTTCAGAGCATTTCACATGCCAAAAAAATTCCTCAAAACAAGAACATTTTTTTTATCTTCAGTAGGAGTTTGTCCTTTCCTAATTACAGCCGGTGAAAAGCTGCAGTTGCAGGGAGTTTATCCCAGCAGTAATCCCAGTGACTGGTGGGCAGGAAGAATGCAGTCCCAGTCATCCTTTTCTCAGATTTCCTTGCAGTGGGTTTGTGGGAGGCAGCCTGGGGATGACTAAAGCAGGACCAGGACATTGGCTCAGGTACAGCCACATCTGCCTGGCACTGCTGCAGGTGCTGGCATGGAATTTCATGGTAAAAACACTTTTGCTCCCCAGTCAGCTGAGAGTAGTCAGCTTCAGCTCGGCTGTCCGGACTCTCTGACAATCTCTGGCTTTCCTGGGGATGTGGAGATGCCCACACTGCCAACAGGAGATGGGAACATCAGCAGGAGCAGCCAGGGCTCCCAGTTTGCTCTCGACATTCCCAGTCTGCTGTTGAGCTGTGACATGTTCAGGTGCTTGATTCCACTGTGAAGGGACGCAGCCCAGGGATTTGTTCCCCCAAATTACTTATTATTTAAGTTTTGCTTTCTGTTGAAGGTTCTGCCTGTCCCTGGTAAAATGTCAAGTTAATTTAAAGATGATTCTGCACCTTTCTGACATTTTCATCCAGGATGTGTCCGCATTAAAGGGGCTAAAGGCAGAGCTGACAGGCCTGGGATAGGAAATAAAATTTCATAAAATTCAGTCTTTCAGTCCCATCCCAGCCAGTAGCAGGTAGGACCTGTCATATGTGGCCTTACCTTTGATGACACAGCATAAGCAGTGCACAAACCATCATCTTGCTGAGCAGAAGCGTGGGGTGTGTGCAAGCTTGTGCTTGAAATCAAACCCAAATCCTCACAAATCTGCATGGAGAAACATGCAAAAGCATGGCTAGAGCCACTGTGCTAATTTCAGATTATTTTTGTTCTGGTCACACACAGCATCCATTCAGATTGTGATGATTTCTGTGAAACATCTGGTCTGCTAATCAAGTTGTCCCCAGGGCCCATTGCAGCACGCCTGGACGGGGGCACTCAGCGCCAACCCAGAGCACTGTATGGAGCAGATCAGGGCTTTGGGATGCACAGGACATCTCCATCCATCCTTGGAGGAGCATGTGGTGAGGGAGAGGATGGCTGAGGTGAGGGGGAGGATGGATGTGCCACTGCTCTGGTGTTTGAGCCCCGTCACCCCTCATCTCCCTCGTTGCTGTGGGATGTGACATCTGTACTGGTGTCCCACAGAAATTTAATCCAGGGGAACGCCAGGAAGAATTTTATAGGCTTTTGCATCAGCCCCAGGGACCTGAACCAAAGCAGGGATCTGTTTGCAGTGCTGCATGCTGTTCCCTCAGGCTGCGTGCAGGAATTCGCACTCGCCCCGGTCACTACATGTGAAGTAGTCTGGAAAATCGGGAAGAAAAAGAGCTCCATGCGTCAGGGATCAGATTGGCTTTTGGTTTCAGTTCAGAAAGCAATTTAAAAAGCAATATATTGAATGGATATCTATACTTGATAAAGCCTCTTTAAATTTAAAAGGCAGCAGCATGTTTTGCTGTTATTTTGTGGATGTGCTGCTGTAATTCTGTGTGCGCTCCTCACCCCCTGCACCAAGTACCTCTGCGTGCCTGCAGCACTGTGGCTGCACCATTCAACCAGGGGAATTTAATTTTGCTGCTGGGGTTTTAACATTCCTCCATCGTGCTTGTTCTGTTTGAGGCTGTGGACTAATTATGGCCAAGTTTAAAGGGCCTGATCTGTCACACTCTGCAAACAGTTTGAAGTTGGAGAGAATCCATTTGAGAAAACGAGGAGGCTCAGCGGTGGAGCTCATAACTCTGAGAAATGTTGCCCAGCTGCCTCCACACAGTAATTTTGTAAATATGTGTGTGTATATGTGTGTGTGCCCTCGTGTAGCTGCCTACTGAAGTGGTGAGTGCCTAGAGCTTGGGTGTCATCTGAGTTGTCTTAGCTGGCAGATATTTATTTCTTATGGCCATTGCTACACAGAAATCCCAATAAAGTGAAATTTGCAGCTTTGTACAGGCCAATGGTTACTCCCTTGGGTACCTTCTGTAACTATAAACCAGGCCCCTGAGGAGCTTTTGTACACAAAGATTTTGGAACGCCTTGGCATTGTTCTGCTTTTCCTGAACAGCAGTCCTGATTGGCATTGAGAAGAGAAGCCTTGATATTAAGATAGAAAATCCCACGTTGAGTCTGTTTGGTTATGTGATTGCTATGTCCTCTTGGCTTTTCTGGCAAACCAGCCCGTTCTTCATCACCAGCTTTCCATTTTAAATGATGGCTATCAGCCTTGGGTGGTCGTGTAGCTGTTCTGCATATCGATGGCTTGGGGCCAGAGCAGTGCTTTTTTGTGACAGCAGAGCATTTCCTTGGTCAGCATTAGTTAAGTCAGGAGTATCAAAGACTTCTTGTTGGTCAGCATTTGAGGAGAAGAGATGGATTTTGTTGTAGGACATGGGGCAGAAGGCTGATCCCTGGGGTGCTGTGTGCCTGCTCTGACATGGAAATGTGGCTGTTCTTGAAAGCAAAGCAGAAGCTGGTGGCACATACCCAGGATTCAGGAAAGCACCTTCAAAGTCAGCCAGGCCTGCCTGAAGTTACGGGTTGTGTGAGCAGCAGCATTGCAGGGCTGGGATGTCCCTTCAGGCTGTGGAGCGGCAGTGGTGGGGACACACACGAATTTTCAGGAATGCACTGTTTTGGTACCAAAGCACCAGTGACCTCCTTCTCTCCTTTGCCACGTGGTGATGTAGAAACACGCCAGTGTCAGCGTGTTCATGTGTGCAGTCCTTCTTCCCAGAGGACTGGGACTGAACAGGACTCCCCAAAAGCTCACTCTAAACTTTAACCACTCTGTGTTTCCTATTGCAACCATCCAAACCATTTGCTAATCATAACTTTGTCATTCCAGCTGCAGCCAACATGTTGTTTGACGTGGATATTTGTTCGCACTTACAACCGCTTGAGAACTTTATTTTGTGTAACCTGTCGGTCTCTGTCCCCGGACGGGGAAGCGAGATGCACTGTCCAGTTTGCACTGTTTCTTGACTAATAATCTCTTCCAGCACATCAATACAAGTTTGCTCCCAGCAGATTCTCTATTTAGTGTAAAAGCTGACATAACTTTTTTTATTTCAGGAAGACAGTAAATTGAGACTATTTATAGATGCCAAGATGCTATCTCAGGAATTAATATTCAGTTTTACAAGCCCTTCTAAACAATGGGTTTCCCCCCACCTCCACCACCATTTTCCCTTCCACCATTTGCTTGGTTAAAACAAATGGGGATTGCTACCCAAAACCAAAGCAAAGCCCTGCTCTTGGTCTCCTCGTGGCTTTGGAAGGTTTCCCTTGTAGGCCCCCAGGGCTCCCACAGGAGAACAAGGGCTGGCCTCCTTGAGGGTGCCTTAGATTTGGTTGCCAAGATGAGAACAGCCTATGTTGGCAGTGGAAACAGGCTAATGACGGCTTGATAATCTGCTATGCAAGTCTTGGTGCAGTTTGTTAAACTGTGCAGGGTTTATTTGTTTTGCTTCCATAATTAAAGCATGTAGACCTTGTATCTGTAAGTATTGTGTATTCCTTGTATGATTCTTGTCTTTGCTGCTGCTTCAGGAATTCAGCCCTGGGCTGTCCTCAGCTAAATTGCCAAGAAACAGGTCCTCCTTTTTCCACTGCTGCCTCTGCCCGCTCAGGGGCCCGTCCCCAGGTTGTCTGCCAGCATGTCACCGAGGGGAAACGCCGCTGTGAATTGTCTGTCGTTGCTGCAAAACCCAAGCTCCGGGCTGCAGTGCCGCTGAGGCTCGCTCACACGCTGCTCCTCACTCAAACACTGCCTGCCTCCAGCCAGGCAGGGCTGCCCCAAACCTGGCTGGCCCTTGGCTCTGGGGATTTATTTCAGTCACACGTCCTGAGGAGCCAGTCCGCTCCAGCCACTGACCCCTGCCTCAGAGCACCTACCTCCAGAGGGAAAGTAAACAGCCTCCAAGAACTAAATAAATAGTAAATTTGGGTAATGTGGTTACATTTAGTTTAGAACTATTGGTGTGGGGGAAAGAACTGTCAGAAAAAGCCTTCAGTTTTGGGTCAGTCTTTTTAAACTGCCTGTTGGAAACACCTGGAAGATACAAAGAATCCCTCCATTGGCAAGGCAGTGCCCCCCAGGAAACTTCCAGTGGGATGTAGTCCAAATGGAGTAGAGTCAGCTTCAGACTAACCAGCAAAAAAATATACAGGATGTTTTAATTACCCATAGCTGTTCAACCAGGGACCTGCTGCAGCAGAGGGACAGGCAATGTTTGTCCACAGTTGCCAGTTCTAGAACATATTTTATGCTGGAAAAAATGGTTCATCATGCAGGTGGTGGCTGGGAAGCTGGAGGAGAGGCAGGAGCAGACTGTTCCCTGGCCAGGGGTGCTCTGATGGGGCAGTGTCTGAGTGTGTAACAGCAATGTGCCAAGCCTCAGCTCCTCATCCTGCTCTGGAGCTTCTGTTTTGTCCCCACCAACCAAACCGTTGGTGTCGGTGTTTTCTCCTGTCTCCTGTTCCCCTGACTTTGCAACCACCAGTAATTGTTCTGGCAAGGACCTGGAAAAAGAAAAAAATTTACTGTTTTCCTCAGGCTCATAGCTTTTGAACTGGAGGCATGTCTTCTAAACAGTGCAACTCACTTCAAATGCTTTTTGCCTTTCATTTTATTATTGCTTGTCACGCAATGTTCTTTGAAAGCTTGCTCATATATTATCTGTTCCATTTTTTCCATTTTCCCTTTTTTTGCATGCTGTTCCTCCTGTTTCTTCCCTTCCTCCAATCCTCTGTTCCCGTGTGTAGACACAACGGCGACGACAGAACCAGCAGTTCACGGTTGGTATCACATTCCTGTTTATCTTATTTCTCAGCGCTGCTGAGTGGCAAGACAAGCCTGGGAAGGGGAAGCCAAAAAGGGAACTGGAGTCTTCAAGGGAAAACTGTTTCAGGTGGCCTCATCTCATAAATACAACATGGGTTCTAAGGCAGGAAGGTCTGTCTGCTCTTGTCATTTCTGCTGTGAGCTTCCCAGCTGATCATCCTGGTGCCAGGCAAGCACAAGCCCCACGGAAGTGGCATCCAGGTCCAAGCAATGCTAAGTGGTTCTCACCCATTGACTGAGAGAGTCACTTCACATGTGAAAAAGAAATTTTTATTTTTTTAAAAAGATTTTTGAGCATTTTTCTTGCATTTTGAGTTAGTTTTTAAGACAGGGCATCCAGCGGGTCTGCTGGCATAGGGCAGCCCTGGGGATTCTCCAGAGGAGCGCTCGCCTCCAAGGTCGGCAGGGAAGTTTGCGTTATTACACTGCAGAAGGAGATGGGGAAAACAAATAGCAACACTTTCCTCTCAGCATAGCAGTCTAGCAAAGTAACCCTTCTCATCTGCTCGAGGCAGTCTAGCTAACAGCTTGACAGCTTCCTGAGCTTCCTCCATTCCCCGGCAAGCCTACGTACACGCTGCGGGCTGGAAGTTGAGCATCCCATTTTTTGGCACAAGCTTACTTTTCAGCTGAAGAATCAAAACCTCTGACAATTTTTAATTTCAGCTAATTCATGTTGGACTTTGCTGTCCTAGTTTTTTTTCACTCTGATAAATTGATTTTTTACTGACAGAAACCCCTAGCACAGAGCACCCTGTTCTCCTGCCTGCTCCCCTTGGGGTGTTGCTTGGCCAAGGTCAGAGGCAGGACTGAGCAAAGCAATCATTCAGTAGCAATGTGCCGTATCCACTGGAGGGGCTTGCATTTCTTATCCCAATAACTTACCTACCTGGATGCATTTTCCCACTTGGCATAAAGATGGAAATCTTGGGGCACACTTGTGTTTTGTCTGTGTGTCAGTCTCCCTGTGTGTGTTAATTGTAAAGAGTCAGTGTTGCTGATTTTGTAGCTACATGTTTGTGGCTAGATGTTAGTCCCTAGTTTTGAAAAAGATCAGGTAGCCCTGACAATAGCACAACTCCCAGCATCCTTTCTAGGTGTCTCTGCATCAGGAAAGGCTCGGTGTAGGCATGTATTAGACTGTGCAGTGAGGACCAGCTGGGCAGATGCTCAGTGGCAAACCCTTGCCCCATTTTTTAAAGCAGTTAAATTTTTTTTATTATTATTTGTTCTGAGGAAGCCATAAAAAGCCTGTTTTTAACTCAAGGACTTCCCCGCTCCGTGGGGAGGATTGCTGCCAGGGAGGTGGCCAGCTGAAATGACAACCTGTCCCAGTCAAACGAGCTGCCACAAACTTTCCTGCCTTAAAACCAGCTGCTTTGTTCCGAATTCCCCCTGTGCTTGCCCTTGTGGGGTGCTTTTCCCGTGAAGACTCTGGATTTCTTTCCAAGCTTGTGTTGCTGGAGTGTGTATGGAGTATACCAGGTGTTTATGTTGGCCATTTGTTCTTTCCAATGTCCAATGGGAGTGAGCATGTCTGTGAATGACTAGAAATGCATGGGCATGAATACAGCCAAATGGATTTTCTCCAAAAACGATTTAAAATGAATTGGGGGAAGAAAAAAGAAAATAAACCAACCAAAAAAAAAAAAAAACCAACCAAAAAAAAAAAAAAACCAACCAAAAAAAAAAAAAAACCAACCAAAAAAAAAAAAAAACCAACCAAAAAAAAAAAAACCAAAACCAAAAACCAACCCAAAAAAGAGCTTGCTAGCAAAGAAAATGGAAATGTAAGGCCAGTGTGGAGCCAGCACAATGCTTCAATCGGGGAAAGAGGGTTTTGAGCCATTTAAAGTTTTGGAGTGTATCCTAGAGGACTGGGGGGAAGGAGTCCTGTGTGTGTGTGCATGTCCCAGCAGTAGCCAAGGCCCTGCCATTCCAGTTTCCTCACGGAATGGAGTTGACGGCAGCGATGCATGAGTGACCTAACGCACGAACGTTGTTAACTCTTTTGTTGAAAAATGAGAGCTTAACTGTGAATTTTCTGATGCACTTTCTCCTTTCTCTGCACTGTTCATTGCCAGAGCTCCAATAACAGCATGGTCATGGCCGGCAGGAAGGCTTGTGCTTCCGCTGCACCCCACGAAGCTGGGGTTCCCCAGCTTCAGCCCTCCTCCCTCTCGGTGTGCCCCCCTGGGGTCAGGGTGCCCGTGGGGCTGAAATCACAGGTCCCACTGTTTGAGCTGGAATATGGGCAGAACTCAGTGGAGCCGGGAGTGTAACAACCTGGAGTGTCTGCACCCCTCAGTCTGGGGAGAAAGTGCTTTTTCTGCCACGCCCTTTCGATCTTCCTCCCTGCCCCTCTCCCCACCAGTTTTTAATGTCCTGGCCCCTGTTGCCCCTGGCTGGCCAGAGAGCTGGGCCCTCACGAGGTGCTGGCTTTCGTGGAGCCCCTCAGGTGCGAGGCCTAGCTCATGTTTGCCCCCTGCACAAGCAGGACACCTCTGAGCAGCCGTCACCTTGGACACACTGACCTTGTGTCCGGTTTTTATCAAATTCTGCCCTTACCCCGTTGTAAGCAGAGAGCTTTAAATGCTCAGAATGATTCCCCAGGATGTGGGTGCTGCCCACACAGGGCATTGTGCTTGAGGCCCTGTCCATCCATGTGTGCCCAGCAATGGGGGCTCAGGGCTGCTCCCCACTCCACTGGCAAGGCAAGAACCAGGCCATGCTGCCTCAGCACAAGCAGAATTTCTGCTCATTCTCATGGAAAAGCAGGGTTTTGAGCCATTTGGAAAAGCCTCCTCTGAAGCTGGCAAAGCAGGAAGCCTGGAGTGAAGGTTAAAATAACAGAAACACCCCCGTCACAAACGAAGAGTGATAAGAAAATACTTGGCCCATAATTCAGCAGGTAAATTATTTTACAGGCTGGAAATTCTTCCCCGAAGGCCCGTGCGGGTTTTCAATTGTGGCCGTAGCAGGTTTGGTACAAGAACAGGTAACACTATTGTGTTGCACTCTTGTTCCTTTTCCTGATAGTGCTCAGTCCCCGAAAATGAGTTTTGCTCTGCTGAAGCCAAAGCCCGGCCACACCACAGCGCCGGCCACTGGTACACCTCGCCAGGTGCCACGGAAAAGGCCTCAGAGCTTTCTGCCTTGCCATCACCAAGCAGCTCTGCCAGCCCACCTGCCTCCTTCCCTCTTGGAAATGCCCTACTTAAAAGTGCGGCTAATAGTAAATCCGTTCCTCAATGTATTTTACAGCTCCCGTCCTTGGGGCGGTTGAATAAAACATCACAGCGTTGTCTGCGCGGGTCTGCGCTGCGCCGCCGCACGCCGCATGAAACGGAATCCCTAATTGCTTATTTAGAGCCTGAGATGGGAGAGAAATTGGCTTTTCCTTAAAAACTGGATGTAGCGTGGGAGCCAACAGAAACCTAAATATAGCCAGGGTGCCTGGTCCTTGTGTGGGCACCTGGTTGAGCTGCAGGACGCACTCACCCTGCCGGCTCTGCCTGCCGAGGATTTGCCATTTCCAGGGAAATGGAGCAGAGTGAAAAGTTCCCTTTCATTTCTCTGACAGGAGTAGTGGCACACTTTGAGTTCATCCCCTCAGAAGTGAAAAGAAGGGGCTTTAGTAGCCAGTATGAAAGTTTAATGAGAAAAATCAAGAAGTAATTTACCACCTATTTAAAAGCCTCACAACAGGTTTTAACGCCGGCCAGTGGCATTTGTGAGTGTCCCAGGTGCAGGGAGAAATGGAATTGTGGAATTGTTGCAAATTTTATTCTGAAAAGGATTTTTTTTTCTTGCTTCATAAAAAATGCAACATTGCCCTTTTTCATCAGTGAGAAAATGTAGTTCCTTTAAAGGGAACTCTCTACAGAAGCAATTTTGGTGAGAGAAAAGTTGAAGAGCTCCTCTGCCAAGTGCAGCTTTGTATGGCTAATGCTTCTGTGAGGCAACTGTTGTATTTACAGATCATTTATAGGAAAAAGGCTCCTGAAAATCTGAAAAGGGCTCCCTGAAACCCAAGAGTGGCACACAAGCAAATTTCCTGCTATTAATCTAAATGGCTTCCCACTTCAGGAGGTAATTCCAACGGAGCTTCCTGGTGATTTGATGTATTTAAAAACCAGTCACTGAAAATTAGTTTAATTTTTAAAGAGCAGTGTATATATATATAAATATACATATTGCTGCTCTGCAGTGAGGCCAAGTCTGCACATTGACCATACTGCACTCACAGCTTGGCTATTTAACACAGTCAGCTCTGGTAGCAGTCCATGAGCTGACATCCCCAGCTTCCTCAGTGCCCAGGGATGTGGGATCTCTTCATGGGAATTTTTTTTCTTTGCTTATGCATTTGCTTTTAGTGGCCAGCAGCAAGAGCGAGTCCTGGAAATCACAGCCCACAGGGTAACACTGCCCCACGCCACATTTCAGTAAGTCTGGGTGGCCTCCTGGCACCGGTTTGCCCTGTCACTGGTGCTGAGATGCCCACCCTGGGGATGCTGTGCCTGCAGACCCCAGCACTTCCTCAGACTCCCAAACCAAGCAGCACTAATGCCCTCACTGAGCACTGGCTGTCACAACCACGTGCCTCCCTGATGGCTGTATAGCTTTGAGGACAGATTCTTTTCCCATAAATCCATCACATTGGTCAAATGAACGGGAGCTGGTTTGTCCAGTAGTTTGGCAGAGAACACGGCCCGTAGCCTGCAAGCAGGCCATGACATGCACTGCGCAATATTCCTACTCTCCCATCGATAAATGGCCACACTTGTCATCATGACCAAAACTAATTGGATTGGGCACAAAATTGGAGGCAAGCTTTCCATTGCTCTCTGTATGCAGGACCAAAATCAGCCTGGACTAAATTTGGAAATTGTCCCTGTGACGGCCGAAAGGCAGAGTTTGGGGGGCTCTGCATGCTGTTATGAGTGGTCTCAATGCTATGTTTCGTGTGCCAACAGTGTAGAGCGAGGAGCGTTTCTGTCTGTAATAAAGGCCACGATTGCACTGGTGTCACACGATGGCTCTGCCCACAGCGGCAGATGGTGGCAAGTGACTGACGCATTCTCTTTTTCCCCCCCAAGAAATTCATCCTCAGTTCTTAAGTGTGTTGTTCTTTGTCGCTTGAGAAACGCAGAGAAAAACGAGTCTGTTTTTACTTGTAAGGCTTTACTCAGTTGCCCAATTCGGCCGAGGAGCTGGACTATGGGGATCTCTCAGGTAAGGGTAGTCCGTAGGTAACCCGCTGCTCTCCTTCTCTAGACACTGGTTCCACTCTGATTTCTGCATCTTGGCCATGTTGCATTGTGCAGTCGCTATGGCACAGCCATTCCCCCCCACGCTCTCGCAGCTTGGAAGTGCTCTCCTTTCTGTTGGGGTTCTCCTCCCTTTTTTTTTTCTTTTTTTTTCTGGTTTTGGCACCCATTTCTGTGTGGCATCCTCGGACATGGGGCAGGAGGTGCAGGGCACCAAGGCCAACCATTGTGGTTCCCTCCTGGCTGGGATTTTTTGACTGCTGATTTGGAGAACCGGTTGAGTTGAATCCTTGTAAAACACTTGACTCTGCCATGTTGTGTGAAACCTCCCTTGCAGGTGGCCAGCACTAACCCTTGGCTGCTCGGGGATTCCTCATTGTACCAACATCAGACTGGGGGTAAAAAGGAGGTGGTTGTTTCATCAGTAAGGCCAAACCAAGTAAATTGTTCAAGCCTCTTTTATCCACACTGTACAGAAAGAGGCATAAATGCATCCTCATGGCTGGTTCTTGCCAACTGAGATAAGTGCTGACTGAGATTAAAGCATGACAGTGTCTTCAATGGATGCAGTTTGGTGCATTCAGAGCAGAGCCTGTACCAGTGGTACAAACCTAAATCTCTGCTCTTCATGTTTTCCTATAGAAATGCACCTTTATATTTTTTTTTGCCCCTCCTTGCAGAGCATCCCTGCAGACCCTGGTGCCTGCTGGGCTCTGGCTGCCTGCAGCTGCTCCAGCACAGGGTGCACAGTCCTGGCCATAGGGCAGGAGCAGCCGTTTGTCCCCCTGGGAAGAGCCCAGCCCAGGGGGGTTGGAGCCCACTGCTGTTCCTTTCAGGGGTTCAGCATGGAGCAAAAAACACCCCCAAAAACCCTGAGTCCTCCTCTTACTCCATCAAATGGTTCCCTCTCACCCAATCAAATTGGGAACATCCCATCCCATAAGCCACTACAGGTGTGCTTTGGCCAAGAGGTCAGAAATGATGGATTCACTCTGGATATTTTCTAACACTGAGCGATGCTAACAATTATTATTGCAGGCCCTGGACAGATCCCATAGGTAAGATGCACCAGGGCTGTGGTGAACATCCCTGTGTGGATGGGGAAAATTTGTTTTGCTGTAATAATTCCTTTTACTTCATAAAATTCCATTTTTTTAAGGAAAAATACACTTTTTGGTGAATGAAGAGAAGAACCTGAAAAAATTCCTCAAAGGAATTGCCCAGAACGGGTGTTTGCTCCCCAGCCTGTGCTGCCCAGAGGGGCTCACACCTTTCCTGGAGCACACAGCTCAGGGTAGTCCTTTTTCTGAGTCGGGAATGGAAGCCAAAATTTCCCCCACCTTTCCAGAACACAGCTCAGGCAGAGCCACTGCCCACAGCAAGCACCTGTCGTGTGCTGTCCAACCCTTTTTGGAGCATCTGGTTTGGCTGCTGATTTTTCCCCTAAGAATTTCAGCATTTTGCTTGTTGCTCTTTAGGTTACTCCTGCCTGCCCAAAGGGTGATCATTCCTGGTCAGGTGTGGTCAGGATCATACTGGGGCAGGTTTGGGGGAGGCACTAGAGAGAGCCCCAGGCCTTTCCCTGCTGCAGAGTGGCCTCTGCCCCGTAGCCCTTGTTCAGAATGCCAGGAAACTGCAGCCAGCTGATGTTTTTGGCCCGGGGTCAGCACACTGAGGCTCTCAGATGGGTGCTCCAGGTGAGTGCCGGAGTTGAGCTCTCGGTCGGGAGCAGCCAGGCGGGCCCTGGGAGCCCTGGGCACCACCCTGAGGGATGCAGGGCACCTGCCCACCCCCACGGGGACTGGCGTGGCGGGCGTGGGGGCTGCTGCCGTGTTTGCTCAGTGTGCTGTTCCTTCCAGGTACATCTGTCCCGCCCACAGCTCCAACCGAGGCTCTGCCGACTGAGCAATTAAGTAATGCATCCCTTGCCTTCCTCCCAGGTAGCCTGAGTGCAGAGCCGTCCTGCTCTTCCCACCGAGCTCTGTGTGTCCGTGCCTCTCGCAATCCTCTTGTTCCTCACATCCTGAGCCCTTAGCGTTCGGAGAAGGCTGGCCCAGTACCTCTCAATTCCTTATTCCTTGCTCCAGCCTGGCCGGTTCCTGCAGCCCTGGGAGCCGCGAGGGCACACCTGAGCATGCAGGTGCACACCCCTGAGGGTGCAGGCACACACCTGAGGGTGCAGGCACACACCTGAGGGTGCAGGCACACCCCTGAGGGTGCAGGCACACACACCTGAGGGTGCAGGCACACACCTGAGGGTGCAGGCACACACACCTGAGCATGCAGGCACACACACCTGAGGGTGCAGGCACACACACCTGAGGGTGCAGGCACACACCCCTGAGGGTGCAGGCACACACCCCTGAGGGTGCAGGCACACACCTGAGGGTGCAGGTGCACACCCCTGAGGGTGCAGGCACACACCTGAGCATGGAGGCACACACACCTGAGGGTGCAGGCACACACACCTGAGGGTGCAGGCACACACCTGAGGGTGCAGGCACACACACCTGAGCATGCAGGTGCACACCCCTGAGGGTGCAGGTGCACACGTACAGACACCGCCGTGGGCCCTGCCCCAACGCTCCCCCGGCTGTGCTGGCTCTGCTCCAGAGCACTGGCACCTCCTGCAGAGCAGGGAAGGGTTCCCTGCCCAAACGCAAGCGGTGCCTTTGTGGAGGGGGTGCTGGTGGATCGATGGCTGCGAGCACGGCCCCCTTCTCCAGAGAGGAGTCTGTGGAAGCAGCTCTGAGCTCTGCCAGGGTGAGCACATTTATTCCAACAAAGCGCGTTATTTTTTATGAAGCGATCTTGAAATGGGTCGCTGAAGGGGAGCTTATTGATTGAAGAAGGATGAACTCCTCAAATTTCTCTGGTTTAAATTAGAGCGAATTCAATTACGATGCGACAGGCAGGTTAATGCTGCTCTTTAACAGCCCCTCAATAAATTCGAGGAGGGGTAGCCTCCTCCACGCCACACTTTGGGAATGAATAACATTATTGCTCATCCTGTCATAGTCGGGCAGTGATTTCTGTCCTCCCATGTCGTGGCTAAGTAGTTTATAGTGGTCATGGAGTAACAGCTGCCTGTTCTTCCACCAGCACCCTCTGCCAGGCCCAACCTCTAGTGCTGCTCCATCATTTCAAAAACTTTCTTCCACAAAAGAATTGACCCCAGATTCAGCTGGGAGGTGTCAGTGCAATCCTAATGTTTCCTACCTCCAGGGAGAAGGAATAATTGGCTCACCAGGTTTTCAGGAGTGCTCAAGTGAATTAAGGCCATTAGGTACCCAAATCATGTGGGATATTCAGGCATATTGATGTGATAATCATTTAATAAACTAAACTGTAACCAGGTTTAGAAGAGATCACTTGTTAAGGAATTCTTCAAAGCCACTGGCATAAGTTCCTGTTCCCCTGCCATGATGCAGTTGTTGCCTGCACATCTGGGCAGCGCAGGAGTTGTCAGTGGGGTTGGTGTGTATAAGCTTGCTCCTGCCCACAAGCTTAGCCCACGCTGTCCAATGTCAGGGGCTTGACATTAATTTGCACCCAGAAATAGAAGGTGAATTTTTGTGCAAGTGCAGCAGTAAATCCCAGTATGCCAAAAATAATGTCTAAACTACATTTTCATAAAAATCTCCCTCCGTTCTCTGCTTTTACAGCAGAGTGCACATAGAGGAAGGTCAGGGCTGAACAGATAGCCCAAAATGTTGCAGTTGGGCTACAAATTGGAAGGAGGTGAGGAGGAAGGACAGGAGGCAGGAGCACCATGCAGCAGGGGCTCCATGAAACCTGGGCTTTCCCACATCACAGCAGCACAGGCTGCATCTCCCAGTTCTGCCTTTGCTCCACACCTCTGGCACTGAGCCGAGGGAGCCGTAATGGGCTGGAGAGGGTGCTGGAGCACGCAGGGAAGGAGCTGCTGGCAGCAGCAGCAGTGTCAGGAGCGGTGCCAGCGGCGGCGCAGAGGTGGGTCACTGGAAGGAGGATGCTCCTGTGTGCAGAGGGCTCCTGGCAGCAAGGTGAGCCCCAAGCCAGCACTTCGAGCCTCGCGGGATGCGCTGCTGAGAGCGCTGGGAGCACTGAAGGTAAACGTGGAGTGGTCTGACCCAAATAGGTCAGAAGCTGTTAGTGTGAGTAGAAAGGAGATTTAAAATACAGGCAGCCCGGTCCAACCCAGTCTTGCTTTTAGTCTTGAGATGCTGCTGCTGACAAGAAGAGTGGAATATTTGTAGATACATCTATATTTAAAGCCTCATTAAAATGGAATTGAGTGCAACCTTTTCATTGAGAAGCTGGGAGGAGAAAAGTCTTCCCTCTGCTAAACCTCAGTGTAAGCACTGACCCAGAGTGCTGCTCTTACCATCACCAGCATTTTTCTTGAGAGCCCACAGAAAGCTGGTTTTAGCACTTACATTGGCAGAAATGCTAGAGACCTGGAGATCATGAATACATTCACTTTTTAAGATCATTAATACATTCACTTTTTTTAAGAGTCCTGCAAAGCCCCCATAGCTGAGAACCTGCAGGTGTGAATTGCAGATGATGATTTTCAGTGCTTAGATGTACAATCCCCAGCTCAGCATCTGCTCTGTACTGCTCCTGACCTTTGGAATTAGTTCCTTAGTTCTGTGATGAGTAGGAACCAGTCCCAAACCCCTTTTTCTCCTGTCTATGTGCTGTTTTCTGAGCTGCACTTTTTTGTTTAAAGGAAAACTTCAAGGTTGCCATTCCAGCAGTGTAATCACTATTTTGTTGATTATACGAGAAGTTGGTAAAAATAATCAGCAAAAATAAATTTCAAGCTACCCAGGTCTCTTCCTGGCCACTCTGGAAGAGGCTCTGAAGCACTCCTGCTGCTGTGCAGTGATCTGCTCCACGGGCAGACAGGCCTAGAACTGCATCCCATGAAACCTGGCATCCCCTGGTGTGGGGCACAGCCATGCCAATCTCTTGGGGGAGCAGCACAGCATTTGGGAAGACAAACTGATTTTTTTCCTGTATGAGTTCAGCTCTGGCAAGTGGATTATACCATTACCACTGCAGTTTTCCTTTAAGGTGCTTTGGTGCCAAGCAAAGCATCGACCCAAAAATGGTTCAGCCAAGGTGCACTGTAGCTGCAGAGTAGCCCTGAGGGGGCATGTTGGTGACAACATGCTGTGATGTCTGTTCCTTCCTTGCCCTTCCTTCCCTCCTTCTGCCCCACCCACAAAAACACAAGCAAACCCAAAACAAAACCTTGACAGGAAATTCCTGATGATTCGCTGGAGAGGCCAGGATTCAGCTTGCTCCAATATATATTAACATCCTAATGGGAAAGCTCTGCATGTATACATTTACTGTGCCCTGACAAGAGGGAATTAAATGTCAGAAGGATTTGTAGCATCTGTAATTGAATTGGTGCTGAGAAAAGCAAATCTTGAGGAAGAATAACATATTAGGATTAGCAAATAATGTGGCATTTTGTCAGTTCCTGCCATCTCGACTGTTCCCTCTTCAGCAATAAAGTTGTGATTTCTGGTTTAATCAGAGATAGGAGGCGGGGATAGTTTGGGTGAATTGGAGACAGCATTTAAAGCAGATTCTGGTTGTTAAGGTCAAGTCTCTTCTTGGCTTTGGGGAATTATTCCTTGTTCCATGGACCTGACACTTTGTTAATTACCAAAGAAATAGTGAGGGCCAGGATGTGGAGGGGCTGTTCCCGTGCTGGTGGCACACAGACAGGTTTGCTGGGAGAGTGTTGGCATCTCTGGTGGTGGAGCTGGGCTTTGCTGTGCTGGCAGGCAGAGCTCTCTGCTGGGTCACGCTGCTGGAGCACACAGGGCTTGATGAGGTGCTGGAGACAAGGAGAGGAGATGCTGCAGCAGGTGTGCTGTAGGCTGTGTGTAAGCTTGAAGATGTATGTAGCCACGTGTATAACAGTGTGAACTTGGGACTGGCACCTGACAGGGATCTTCTTGAAAAGGAATAGTTGAGAAGAATGCCCCTGCACGTCTCAGCAGTGGAACTCACGCTTAACAAACTGCTGAGCAAACCTGGCAAGGCCTTTGGCCAAAGGCCCTTCGCAGGGGAACCCTCTCCCTGCTCTTGGCACGATGCCAGTCAAAGGAAGACATGAGGGATGTGTCAGGCACGAGCTCTGTCTCGTCTCCACGGCAGTGGGTCGGTGGGACAGTGGAGGCTGCTGCCGCCAGCACGAACACACGGCTTCATCTTTCCAGAACCTTAATTTATGACGAGGAAGGAAAAATGCCTCTTGATGCAAAATCCTGCTGGAAGCACATTACAGAGCCGTAACTCAGCATGTTTATGCCCCTCAGCTGTTCCAGATGTCAACAAGACACTCATCTGCCCTGGCTGGGATGCTGCTGGCTGCTCCGAGTGCAACTGAGCGGAACTGGGCACAAAGTTTCTGAAAAAATAAGAAAAAAATGGAGTGAAGCATGCCTAAAGCAGCTGCTCCAGAAGATGAGCCAGTTTAGTTGCTTTGCAGAGAGCAGGTTCACGGAGGCCAGACTAGCCGAGCTGGAGCAGCAGTGGGAAGGCTGTGCTGGACTGGAGCTCCTGGGATGCCTGGTGTGACTGGCTTGCCCCAGCTGCCACCCTGGGCAAGCAGCAGATCCTGTGCCTGAGCACGGGGTCAGCTCAGCACCCCGTGAGTGTCCATGGGCACCTTTCCCTCAGCACGCAGGGATGTTCAGCCACTCACCACAGAGCAGATGCTAGGAAGTGATCACAGCATGGTCTGTTCCCGCTGGACATGAGACAGAAGGTCCCCTGTGCTGTCCTTTTGGATTCCTTGGCACAGTGTTACCACAGTGCCATTCAGGGATGTGACAGTGAAGGCTTTTGGTTTGCAGGGGAATAATCTTTTTTGGCTGCAGTTTTTACCTTATCAGCCAAGCTGCTGGAAGGGTCTCCACAGTGTCCCTCGCCATGCCCCAGCTCATCACAGCATCTCCCTGCCCACACTGGGGCTCCTGCTCTCAGAGGTTACTTGAAGGGGCTTTTTTTCTTAAATTGTTTTAATTAAAAGGCGCTTTATGGTGCTCTTGGTCCCAAGTTATTTACTTGGGTGCCTCAGTCCCTAATCTTGGAGCAGAATTGGAAATATCGATAGAAAACGTAAATCCCAGCTGCTGCTTGAAAGCTTTGTATCAGGTCTCGGCTCAAAAGAGCCCCATTACCTTTAGCTGTCACAGATCTGTACGCTTGATCGATAAACTTCAAATATTATTAGAGGTGGAGGCTTCAGAGATTTGCTCTGTTCTTTGGAGGGAGACGGAGATAAATCTTTCTTAAAAATTGACTTGCATTTGCTCTCTCAGTCGTCCTGGAAAAACGCATTTCTCCGAGGTGTCCAGGCAGGCACAGGCAGGGCAGATTTATGGGCCATGTGCTTCTTGTAGTGAAAGATTTAAATGGTAAATCCTTCACATATGACTTCACAAATCATGTAAAGTTAAAAGATTTTTACCGTTTCTGTTGCTGCTGTGCTTAAATTGTAAGGTATGGCCAGTAAATCATTTTAATAGAGGTGTCGCGCTTGACTCACTAAAAAAAAGAGACAATGGTTTAGCTTCTATTCCAAAATGTTAATGTATTAATCAGCGGGAGAATAATTGTTTTTTACTGCGTTATAAATCTCAGTTGCCATTAGGATTGCAGTGAGGGTTGATGTAGCTGCGTTCTTAAATTAAAATTGTTTACACTGCTATACATTCATTTTACATGGCCATAGCTCATCCGGGGTTCATTCCGGAGCTGTTCCTCCGCCACATCAGTCATCCCTCTCCCAGGTGACGGCATCCCGAGGGAGAGGCGCTTCTGAAAGGAAACTAATTGTGTGGTGAGGAGTTAAATAAACGCAGTAAAGCAGTCTGAGGCACTGTACAGTTACTGCTTGCTGTTGGCCTCAGACTGGGTGTTAGCTTTTGGGTCAGGAGTGCTGTGTCCTCGTGGGTTGCACTGAACAGTAAAGGTGGGGGTTTGTGCTGGAACCCAGCTCAGTCGGGGCAGAGGATGATTGTAAACACATTTGCCATGCTGGGTGGGTTGGGTTTTGGGCAAGGACTGTTTTGGGAAGTTGAAATGTTTTCAGTAGGGCACTCGTTAATGACGTTTCTCAGAGCTAATGATTAATATTCCCGTACTGTACTGCTCTTCTCTGTGCCCCATCCATCAGGAAGGCTGGGATTTGGGAAGCACTGTAGGGAAATTTCCCAAAATAGATCCCCACCAACGACTCCACGTGCCCTTCCTCCCCTCTCCCAGCTGTCTCCCACGTGCGTAGTCATAGTGCTGCTGCTTTTAGCGGAAAACACCTCGCGAGTTGAGCCACCAGATCAGTTCGGCTCCGGACAAAGCTCCTCTGCCCGAACTCATCTGTCTAGTTAGCTCCGTGCTTCACCCCTGCTCCTCTGGAGAGCCTGAGGGCAGCTCTTCCCATCCTGAGAGCAGCTGCAGCCAGAGCCTGCGAGAGCATCGTTGTAAGTCCCCAGTTCTTATTCCTCTTCTGATCTCAACAGATTCCCGCGCAGGTGAGGAAGGGGCCATACGGAGCGTGGACCATGCCGTGGTTGGTGGCGTCGTGGCCGTTGTCGTCTTTGCGATGCTTTGCCTGCTCATCATTTTAGGGCGATATTTTGCCAGACATAAAGGTAAGACAGAGACCAAAGCTGGAGGATGAAAGGCCAGGCATGTGTGTCCCCTCAGTCGCGGTGTTGTCATGTCTGATGTGACAGACCCCCCAGTTTCTCTCCCAGTTGCACTTCTGTTTCCTGTGTCGATTACTCCCTCAGCACCACACCAAGACCCCCAGAGTCACACAGCCTCCACTTCCCTTGCAGGTACATACTTCACTCACGAAGCCAAAGGAGCAGATGATGCGGCCGACGCAGACACAGCCATCATCAACGCAGAGGGGGGACAAAATAACTCCGAGGAAAAGAAAGAGTACTTCATCTAGAGCAGCCTTGGTTCCCATGAGGTGTCCAACTGTGGACGGTTACTACTGGCCCTATTTAAACGCTACAAAGACAGTGATCTTGGAAGTTGCAACCAGCTTGTGTCTTTTTTTTTTAAGGAAAAAAAAGCAAATGGGTGGAGAGCGGTGAGGCCGGGATGGTCTGGGATTTGCTGTGTAAAAATATTCCTCGTAAAGTACACTCTGCTGTTCGACACCTCAGTTCGTTTGGGTTTTCTTTTTTTGGCCAAGTCCAGCTTGGATTTAGTTTAGTGAAGTCATTTGCAGAAGATTCTGTGCCTTGTTTAATTTCTGTTTGTTCGGGTCGGGGGGAGGCTGGGAAGAAGAGGGGCTTCTGTGCGTTAGTTCCCTTCGGGTTTCTGTGGCTCTTCGTTTCCCCTTTCCTGTTTCTGGAGTTGCCAGCTGGGACCCTGTGGAGTAGGTGCGTTTCTCTGAAGGTGTTTCCCCTTTTTTCTCTTCACCGGTTTCCGTTCAGAACTCGAGCTCATCGGAGGAGAACCAGCACATTTTAGATGCGTAGTTTGCAGTTCAGTGTGCCCATGTCCCGTTCCCCTGTTGCCGTCAGGGCTCGGATAACACCCCCCAAGCCCCCTTTTGTGGCTGTTTCAGGTGCTTTCAATGGTGGCGGCTGGGAGTGGGCTGGAGCTCGGCAGAGGCGCTGCTCGGCCGTGGGGATGCAGGAGCAGGGTCCTTGCTGGGCAGGCAGAGCCCTCCTGGATGTGGGGGCTTCTCCTCATCCTCTCCCCGCTTGGCAGCCGTGGGGGCAGCAGGTGAAGCCCCTCTGATGCTCTGTGAGCCCAGACCTGGAGAGCAGCTGGATGAACAAAACTGCCTTTTTTTCCTACCTGCTGAGTAAAACGCGGGAATCTGTGTTGAAACGAGCGTGCTAATGACCACTAAAGCCATAGGTGCACAGGAGACTCTGGCTCAATCGGAATTGTAAGCGACAGGTAGCAAACCGCGGCGGGAAGACGGTATAAAGTTATATATGCTGACTTTTTTTTGGTGAGTAATCATGGATTTCGAGCGATACTTTTTTATTGTGTTTATGTGGCAAATGTATCTGATTTATTTAAGGACAGCATTAATCTTAGTGTCAGGTTTGGGTATTTTTTTAGGGGTTTTGGGGGGGGGCCATTTTCGTGCGTTTGTTTTTTAATTGCTGTTTTTTGGCAGAACCATTACAATGTGGGACTCCTTTGGGATCGGGGCGCAGCAGGCAGGCCCGTTCCCCGGCAGTATTCCGTCTTTCCCTTCTTCACGAGCAGAACCTCGCAAAGGAAAAAACAAACCTCTTTTTTCCGAGCAGCTTTTGTGGAGCGCAGCTCTTTCCTGAGCCCTCAGCACCATTGCCAAACCCCATCGCGGTGAGAAGCAGCCAGGCTGGAGCCGGGGGCTCCGTGGCCCGGCGGCGGCGGCACGGGACGGGCATCCTGGCCTTGAGCAGCCCATATTTGTTTGGAAGTGTACCGTAGTGCAGTGTTACCGATGTAACTTTGACTTACAATGTTGACATGTCTCAGGTTCATGTGTTTGATTGGTGTTTTCCGTCTCAGGTAGATTGCAAAATTTCGGCCCCACGCATTGGAAAAATAAAAAAAAAAAACAAACCCACGTAAAAACAGGAGAAAAAACAGGAAATTATTAATTTTAGTTGTATATCGGTTTATGTATTTTTTCTTCAGTATACAGTGCACTGTTGAAATGTATTGTTGAGTATTACTTTGTACAGCTTTAGATCATTAGGACTTTGAAGCGTGAAAAAAGAACAACCTTGTTTAAAGGAGGATCACAAATGAAGAACGCGGAACTGATGATAAACAACCTTGTTCTTTATTTACCCGGCCTTTTTATTTCTTCCCCTTAGGCCAGTTCTGTTTTAAGGTGTCCATGGAAGATGTTACAGTGTAAGAAAATACATATCCATCTGTTCCCATTCACATTTTGTATTGGTTCATGTATCCCATTTTTACAAAGGAAAAGAAGTACTATAAAATATCTGTCTTCTTAATAAAAAAAAGTTAATGTTACAAAACTAGATCTTGTTCTGCACTCTTTATCCTGGCTGTTACAGAATCCACTAGCAGAGTTCCACCTGCAACATGGGCAGGAGGAGCTGGGGCCCAGCAGGTCACACCCAGCACTGCCTAGGACAAAAGGAGTTAAAGAGATTGAACCCGTGTATAATACAGACCAGATTTCAAAAGTTTATACTTGTTTATAATTGCTAAATTATTTTCTTTTAGGAATAATGCCTTAGAGAAAATCGATCTGATACTGATATTCCAGCCTTCCCAAGCTGGGGTAGGTCAGTACACATGTTATTAATAGCAGACAAGTATTTAAACCCTCCCTTGAAAGGTGAGTGTTGAAATATGTGACCTCCTTCCCCCCCTTCTTGTCTCCCATTCAGTCCTGGCACTGCCAGGTTTCCTGGTGTCTGTCCTTGAGACACTTTGGCATTTCCAAGTTGTGACACACGGTGTGTGTTTGCCTCAAGACACCCAGCTCCAGCAGGCAGTGCTGCTGGAAGGATCCGTTCGGCTCCGCTCAGCCCCGGGCAGCCGTCGGCAGCAGCAGCACACTCCTCCTCCCTCCTTTCCCTCCACCACAGCCCCCCAGATCAGGCTGCGAGGCAGCTGCGGCACTGAAATTAGAATCATTAATCTTTTATGTTTTGCACAAAGGATGAGGAGAAAGACAATTGCTTTTTGAGGAGATCACGCCGAGAACAACGGCGCAGAAGCAGCGTGCCTGGCGCCGGAGGGGCCGCGTGGACCGGGGGGCGTGTGCCAAACCAAGGCCACTGTCCAGCGCTTGAGCACTCGGTGCATCTCCTGGTTATGTCACTAATAACATTTTTCTAAGAGAAATCATGACACTGAGGGAAAAAACAGGGCAGAGCCAAAAAAGCAGCTCACTCTTTTCTTACCTGAAATGAGCAGAGCAGCTTTGATGGTTTCCATGGCTATTGCAATTATTTCAGTGCAGAAGAGGTTTGCGGCTCACAGGCCCCCGATGCCGGCTCACGATGGTTTTCTCCTCAAGCCAGCACTACTTATGTCTCACACTTGTGGTGTCTGTAATTTATCCTCTCAGGGGTCCACGTCTTTCAGGGTTTTAAGGTTATTTAGTGCTTTTCTTCCCATTGAATCTAAACACCCTGGTCCTTTGCTTTTCTGGCCCTACACAGGCAAGTAGGGGGCAGGAAACTGTACCTGTAGCATGCAGGATCAGGTACCTGAAGAAACCCTTTGCATTAACTCCTCAGATACTGAGATGCAAAGAACTTGGATGGGGAAAGCTGGAAAGAGTAACAATTGAGCAACAAGACTTAGTGACCCCTATATCCTGTGTCCACCTGCAGAAACACGCTCTGCAGACATGACCCCCACAGCTGCTGAGCCTGGTCCATTACACAGGGATGGGGACACTGCCAGGATTTTATGAAAATTAAGAAAATCATCATTACTTCAAATAAGAATGTAGTCTTTGCCCTGAATTTCACATTTTCACAAGTTGCAGAAGTCATTTGGTCCTAATTGCAAAATTATTTTATTAGGTCAGTAATAGAGTTCTTAATTTTCTTCCCTTTTTAACCAAATAGAGAGAGGAATAATTTTAACTGGGTATCTGACTTGTGTAATTACACCCTGTTCTGCTAGGCTGAAGTTGCCAAAAACCTTATGCCACGTAAAGTAATTAGCAATAAATGACACTTAAACTCACATCAGGTAACGTGTACCTGGATCCTGGGCTGGGTGATTGAAATACACGGGAGCAGGGATGAGGCGTGAGCTGGCAGCATCGATCTGTGCTGGCCAGTCAGTTCTCATCAGAGGGTCCTGACAAGGGGCTAATAGCTTTTTCTGAAGATCCAATCCCATTTTCTAGGCAGTGGCTGGTGCTGTGCCGCCTGGGATAACACCTGCTCCAGGTGGCATCGATCGGGCGGGGGCACATGTGACACCCCAGGGCTGTGTCCTGGCAGCTTTCTCTGGCTGTGTCATTTCAGTGAAGGGAAAACCCAAATTCCATCTAAACCCCATCACCTGGCTTAAAAATTTACATCTGATTTCATGTAACCAGGAAAAGAATTTCAGTCTACTGACCACTAAGGGTTTAAACTGGGCTTGTCCTGTTCCAGTCAGCTGTGGAGGTGATCCCTGCAGCACTTGGAGGTCTCACCTGGGAACCTGTGTGTGCGGTGAGCAGGGCAGGGGCTTCGCTGGGGCGTTCTGCAGAGCTCTGCACGCCCTGCAGCTGGGCTGCAAACTGAGGAGCTCCTCGGTCAGTTGCAGTTAAATAAACAGACCTTGAATAAACAAACAGGTTTTAGGAGGAAAAATAAACCTTAGACGAACTAACAAACACTATGTCAAAAAATAAACTTTAGTTGAATAAGCAAACTCTAGCGCAATTAAAGAGCTTGAGTTAAATAATCAAACTCTGCTCAGGGTCAGCTGTGCCAGCGAGGAGAAGGAGGAGAACTCAGCAATCCTGCCCAGCACGGGCTCCCCTGGAGAGAGACCCCCGAGAGCTGCTGTGACTGGGACATCTTCAGCTCCTGCAGAGCCTCACAGGTGTCCCTGTCCCATGGCAGGTCAGTTCCTCGCTCCCTCCTCCAGGATCATCCTGTCCCCTTGCCCAGTCTGGGGGTGATGGACTGATGGTCCTGCTCTGCTCAGGACTTTCAGTGCCTCACACCTCAGTGCTGGTGCTGGCTGCAGAGCTCTCCATCTGTTTTCCCTGTCAGCCTGGGCTGAGCTACATTAATATCAGCCCTAACCCGTGTGCCTCTGCCTATCTGCCCACAGCCGTGTTCGCCTGCTCCAGTTCCTTATCCTGTTCTGCAGGATAGCAGCAGCCCTGTAAGTCACAGACCTGGAGTGATGTGGGCAGCATAGGAATAATGCCTCCAGATGGAACAGGATGCAGAATGTAGATAGGAAAGGGTAGGGAGAGATGCCATTGAACAGTCCCTCAGCTCTGCAATCTAAGGTGAGCAGGGTTCCGGCAGTGGGCAGCCTGAGCGTGGTTTGTGGGACACTCTGCACCCCAGGAGGTGGGGAAACTGAGCCCCTTTGGAAGATTGAAGGGATTCAGCAGCCCTGGGAAGTTTCATTTCTGTGTTAGGACACTGCTGTGAGCCAGATTCACATCTGCCTCCTGACTTCACTCCCTATGGTGGCAGACAGAACTGCTCTGAACTGTTCTGTGGCCTGTCCCCAGAGTAATCCTGGAAATCCAGTTTTCCTGTTTTGAATCCCAACAGTACGAGTGCTGACCCAAGTCCTCAGGTGCTGGTTCTCATCATCCTTTGGGGTGAGTGGGATCCCCTCCTCTTCCTCAGCAACCTGCCCAAGAGTGGGAATCCCTCTCTGCAGAGGTACCTGTGCAGTGCGGGGTGCTCGGTGCCGTGTCACACCCGAGCTGTCGAGCCCTCGGCTCCAGTGCCACGGGTTAAGCATCTGCCACAGCAGCTCCCAGGATTCCTGCTGGATTCCTCCTGGGATTCCTGCAGCTCCCCCCTGGCAGCAGCGAGGGGTGAGGCTGGCACGGCCTCGCCTGCCGCAGCGCACTCGGAGCACGCACGGAACGAGCGAGCGGGAGATGTGAAGGCTGCCAGGAGTAAAGGGAATATTTGATCAGACGCCCTCCTCTCTCCTCTGTTCTCGGCTCTCAGCCTCCCTCGGGGACGGCACCTCGCTGCCTCCAAGCACCACAGCTGTGACAGGTTGGCAGCAGCTCCTCAAAATGGGACCTGCATGGGAATCTCAATGAGATGGAGAAGGTAATCCTCAGCCTGTGACTCCATGTTCTTTTCTGCACCCTGCACCTTTGTTCCCTTCTCTGTTCCAGCTCCTCTCCACTGTTTTCCGTGCCCATGGTCAGCTTTCCGTTCTCTCAACCCGGTCCCAGTGTCTGTTCCCAGGACGGGAGGTGCTGCCCTGTGCCCCTCACTGGGGCACAGCTTGCTCAGGCATTGTCCTTCCTCAGAACATGCCCCCTGTCCATGCTGTGCTCTGGGCGTTCGTGTTTCTTCCACATAACCTGCTCCAAGCCAGGGGAACAGGGTGCCCAGAGCAGCCTCCAGTGGTGACTGGGACCTGCTGGGAACCAGGTTTCTTCCACATCCCCCAGCCTGGCAGCCCTTCCCCACAACCTCAGCCTTCCTTCCCCCACGGCTCCTGTCCGCAATCAGCCCGATTATCCCTGGTAATTGTCCCTTCTCTGGGTAATGCTGCTGAGCAGGGACAGGGAGCATGGCAGTGTTTTTCTGTGACTAAGAAAAGGTGTGTACGTGGCCTTGATTGCAAATGAAAAATTAAGGCCCCGTGTCTTGCATTCATTCCTACTTGATTACACACCAGTACATAAACAAATCTTCACCCAGTTGCCTGAGGGGTGTCAATGATCCACCTTTGCTTCGCTCGCCTCTCCTCCAGCAAATCTATAACGCATTTAATCTTCGCCACTCACTCTCCTCAGTTTTTAAATGTCTAATTTGCTGCCAAGAGCGGCTCCAATTCTCACTGTGCTGCCGCCTGAACTGCCTGATGTTTGCCTGATTGCTTGGCTGGGGCATCGGGTGCTCTGGTCCTGGGGAGGGACCCACTGCAGGGCACAGGGGCAGCAGCACTGCCCCACAGCACCTGTGCCACTGGGCTCCTGCAGCTTTAGGGCAAACCCCAAACTTCACAGCTTTGCAAGTTGAGGGAGGGGAAATTAAATCTGAGCTGGCCTGGGAAGCTCCAGGTTTGGGAGCTGGGTCACGGGGGAGCTTAGCAGTTTTCAGTGAGGCAAAGGGAAATGAGGAGCAGGGAGCAGGGTTTGCCAAGGTTGTTGGACACTTTGTGTGTTCAGTGGAAATCCTTGGAGCATCGGCTTCTCCTGTTGAGACTGGCAGGGTCACAGGCAGATCATGCCAAGCGTGCCCATCAAGGCCCTCGAGCTCTGGAGGAGCTGCCAGCACCTACCACCACTAATGTGCTCCCACAGCCTGTCCCTGCCTGTCTGCTCCATGTGGCCACCGTG